ACAATCAGTACAACAGTATTATTATACACATAAATCACTTTATTGGTAGATAACGCGTGATAGAAGACACATATCAATCAGTATATGAAAAATTCAGTGATTTCATTCATTTTTGTTGACTGTCACAAATTTATCACTCAATCCTCCCCTTTCCCACAGTATCTAACATTTTCTCGATGAGTTTTATTTCAGTTCTCTCAATATGCTTTTTTTGTTTTGTTTTTTATTGATTCTTTATTATCTATATCTTGCTAAATTCGAATTCAATCCTGTGATCTCCGTAATTTCTCACTATCTGTCTATGTATTTGTGTTAATCCGCCTTACATCAATCAACATTGACTACTGGGTAATACTTCTATGTGAATCACACGTCAATATGCGCTGATATTGTAATGGTAATTCCTATATTTATGTATGTATTTTTCTATGTTATTTATTTCAATGGTTGTAATTTTGTTTTTTTCCTCCAAAATAACAAACTATAAATCTTTCTAATTGAAAATACAACTTATCTGCTTGTACGCTTATACTCTCTGTTTGCTTTGCTCATGTTTTCTTTTTTTATCTACTTGTTTCGGTGTCAATGTTTGCTAACTTAATTATATGTGTATGTTTGTGCACGCTAACTACTCTATAATATATACTTGCATTATGCGTTACTAACCATCTAATCTATTTTGTTTTGATAAGTAATTAATACAGATCGTTGATAACTGGATGTATTCGTTGATATATATATATATATATATATATATATATATATATATATTAACTGGTACTTCTTCATTGTTTTATGGATTTTGTCGCAGTATTGTTCTTATTGTTGTTGTTATTTTGGTCAGTTGCACACTTCCGCTATTGTGATCACCGTTGTGACAACCGGTTTCATCAATAACATTGCTTTTTTGCACTACTACTACTTAGATATGTGCTCTTCATTTTTCTTTATCCGTTGTTTTTGTTATTCTTAATGTATTTTGAAAGTATTCAAGAAAATGAAATTACCAAAGAATTTTTTTATTTCTCATTCTCTCTTATTATAGTTGTATTCTTCGATTTATAAATAGGATGATTTCGTTCATAAATTGCACAGCCTCATAGATTAGTTGTTCAGTTACTGTTTGCGAAACAATTAAAGTTACATGGTGCATACACAATGTGTAACTTATCTATGCATATGTATGAAATAGTTGTATATAATTATATGAGATGTATGCATATATATATTCTAAAGATATTTGTTTGTTTTGACGAATTCTGCATGGTTATTTATGCAAAAATGTAATTTTATCATGTCAATCTTTAAAAGTTGTTAGATCTCATCTTCTTTGTTGTCAATTTTTTTCTTGTACAACACAGTATAAAATATACTACTTCTAATTAATGCATTGTATACTACAGTTAATGACAATATTATTATTATTATTGCTGTTATACTAATCCAATTGACATATTTCTTTATTTCAGCTTCAATGTGTAAAAATTTTTATATTTAAATTAGTATGAGTAAAATAATAATAGTAATTATTATTCAAAATGAATATTCTCCTTTACTATCCTCTGTTTAGCAGCAAGGAACTATAAAGTGTAAGGTTGCTTGTTCATGACTCTGAAAATTCTTACACTTCTACTATATCTGTGAATTGTGAATTAAGTACCTACATTTTTAATCACAGACCCCCATCACCGGATACAATAAATTACTTTTAGAAAGGAACTTTTAGTGAATATATTATATATGAGAATTTGAATGATCTCATTGACATATCATATAAACATCATACTCGGCGAGCATGTTAGTGGCTATCCGGATTCAGTGGCTCAATGGATACCGCGTTGGTGTTCAAAGTAAAAGATATTGGACTACAGTCTCTATGTGAAAATCAATATAAGAATGGGCATCCATCCTGCTGATAAGTCCCAGATACGACTCAAAACTTGTTCTGGACTCTAGTGCTAACCATAGTTCATCTATTCTATAAAAGGTTTGCTAAACTTTTAATTCATAATAAGTTATGAATGGTTGCGATAAAGCTAGCTGTTCAAATTGTTTGTTTTAACGATTATTGGAATTCATTGAACTTTGTCTCATTCAACTAATTAATACACCATTAAAGCTTATCTTTTAAAAGAAAGCCTATAATACTCTAAAATGAAATTACATGTTAGTTGCATTTTATAAACCATTGTTTTCCTAGGAATTTTTCTTACTGTATATTGTTAGTTTTAACGGTGTTGTGTGCCATCTTACAGTAAAACGTATTATTATTTTATTGTCGTTTGTCTTTAACCCTCCCCCATTGTATTAATCCTCATACACTTTAATGTATAGAGAAAATGTAATCCATATCACAGCCTATAAACATTATACTGGACACAGGAATAACTGTCAAAGTTCTCATATTTTATTTAAAGCTTGCATTTTTAAATTTTAAAAAATAAATGTTTGGTAAACTTTGTTCTAACTGGAAAGAGTCGAATTAATCTTGGGCTACTGACAACTTTCTTGAAGCTGAGTTCTACATAGTTAACTTGTCTCCTGAAGTCTTTTAAGTTCCTGATGAAGTTTAATGCTCTCCGGCAGCAGCAAATTTTAATTTTGTCACAAAATTCCCATTATGTAGAATGTTAATTATTATATTGCCTTCGAGTGAATACAGCTTGTCTTATTTCCAGTTACATTGTTGACGATTTTACCTCATATTTATTTTGGAATGTTCACCAGTACATTGTCACAAAGTAGAATAACAGAAATTCCCTGTATTGTTAGGTCTTCAGTGATATTTCTAACTGTTAACAGATATCGCCTAATGGATTGAATCGACTTTATTACCGATATGATAATATTATTTATATTATTGAATACATTTTCCAGTAAATTTTAGTAACTAGTGCCATAGTTGCAATATTTAGTGATAAGTCAAAACCATTTATATAATGATTAGTGTATATTCTATAGACTGTTTACTTATCATATATGGAAAGTTAATATAAGATAGTGACTGGAAGTAATCAACCGGAAACCCTGGACCCGGGTTTCGTGCTATTTGGCACTCTATAGCATTCGATCTGCACTAAGAAGGACTTGACACAGATGACATTGATCACTACCCAGTGATCAATCAATTATGGAACATTAATATATTTTGTAATTAACTAGTGACAAAATAATGACATATTTGTAATATCCCAATAAATGGAAGGTAGGTCGATACTTCAGAAAATAAATAACCGAATTAGTCAGTCGCAACATAGGAGTAGGCATTGAATTAAATTGCTACACTATTTAAACTTGTGTTAATTTAATTTAACTCACTGAATGAGCAATTTAAGCCATGTTCTGATTTCTATACCATTACGCTATGACAAATATATCATTATTTACCATTTATCTAATACCAAGTTTTTCTTTCCAGTTAGTCGTTATAAGGCAAGTTCAAAATAGATCGTAATGATTGAAGCAAAACATTTAGTACAATGAATAATTTTCTCTGTAGAAATTAGAAATTTTATTAACATGCATTTATTTATACCTACGCTCAAAAGAATATCAGCAATTATAAGCTTCTACTACAAAGAAAATCTGGCTACAGTATACACTTGTTTATCTGCTGGCTTTTCTGCACTGTATTTTACGGATACATTCCAGTGACAGGTTGATTGCGGAAATTAAACAAAAAATCATAAAAATATGCATTTTATGGTCGATAGTTTTTTTCATCAAACATCTGATCGGTTATCGGGACAACTAACAAAGTTCCACCAATCGATACACCTACTAAATAATTTTTTTTCATTAATTGACCACGACTTGTGTAATTTTAGTACTGTGTTGTCACATTAGCAAATATCAATACCGTCAAATATTTGCTGAGTATATATGGCCAAGGGAAATGATATCTTTACACTAAAATAGTTTTCATGTACTAACAGTTCTTATTTCCAGTTGTTTTTTTAAAAAATCTAATTGAATCCCATATACTTATTTGTTGATCGGTTGCCTGAGGTTCTAGTGAATTCAAATTTATTCACCATTGTATACTTACGTAATTATCTTAATATGTGATTATTTGTTCTGTTTTTGCAGTTTTTTCCATTAGTTTGATGTCATAAACCAATATATTTCATTTATATACATATGTTTATGTTTTTATTTGACCTAAACTTCAGAATAGATGTTTGTGCTAATCGCAACTACTAATATTCAAGCGTTTGTTGCCAAGGTTACTACCATTATTGACCATGTGATATTTTATTCATTTTTTTCGCATTCTTTTTGTGGAGTACTATCTTTCTAGGCTTTTTTTCTTACTCTAAAAATGATATATTTGTTGTGGTGAATGTTTGTTTTTTATAATTGCTGAATGAATCAGTGTTTTCGCCAATCACGTAGTTTTTTTAGAAGATTATTCGAATTATAAACTGTATGTAGTTTTCCATTTATACACTAGTATTAATCATAAAATGTTACATGGTTGACCTTTATAGCTCCTAATTCAATACTCACAAGAATTAGTTGTGCTGATTACTAAATAATCTCAAATTTAAATGTAGACTTTGTCAACTCCTTCCTAGTTTTCGTCTTAATACTTGAAGATTATTACTTGTTTTCCGTGCATTTCTCCACTTTTTTTATTAAAGCCATTATCATAACTATTACTGTGTAAAATATAAACTTGTCTGACTATTTGTATAACGTCTATTGCATCATTCGTCTTGTGTCATCCATTATATCTTACGTAACTTCTATTGATCGACGAACTTCATGAATAAGTGTAACATTAAAATGACAATGACATCGAATGCAGATAATCAACAATATGTAAGATAAGTTATTGTTTTGTTTGTTTGTTTTGTAAATGAAATTAATAATTAGATCGTTTTCCCACTATTTTAGATTTGCATTATCTTTAAATGTACTTTCCAATTTCGTCTTAGGTATTTCGTTCACTTTTTCTGCTATTTTCAGTATTATTTTTATGTATTTTTCATCTTAAGTGGATACTGATATTTCTAGAAAACTACGTGAACGTGATTTTGCTATTGAAGAACTTATCAATACTGAATTAGCCTACAATAATAGTCTTATTGAAGTGAGAGATGTAAGTTTTTTCGAATTGTTTTTTTGTCTCCATGTTTTATTTAAATATTTAAAACTATTCATATTTATATTTAATTTGTGTAATATATGAAACATCTAAGCTTAAAAGTTTAATCGATTTCACTTCAAAATAGACCATATCCTTTGTTTTAATTATGTAATGTAACTAATATATCATAAATAGTTAGTTAAATGTTAACTGAGTGGACATTGTCATGCGTCAAACGTACTTTGCTGAATTTCAATACTGGTTATTTTGAAATTTTGCTGCAGCAAACTATGATGTGGTATCCTTTTTTTACATGTTAATATACACAATTGATATTAACTGATGTTAATGCTAAACAAACTGGTATTCATGATAAAATGTACATATAAATTAGTTTCAAAGCATCACTTAGCAATTAAAAATTAATAAACACAGACTATATTCTTTTACACTGTTATTCATTTCTTTTGTTCTTTAGTGAAGATCACGAGTAGTTTGTTAATTAATCAATGAACCAGTCGCATATTTCATAATTATTTCACTGCATAAGTTAAATACGTTAAATGTCTATTAAGCCATATGTTCAATCCACCTATAACACTTGATTTATTTTATCTCGAACACAACACAAAGAACTATGTTTCATATTAGATTTAAAAAAATAATGACAGATTTCTATAAAACTGTACTTGTTTACTTAATTAATCATCAAAATAGTTGCGACAGTTTTGACCATGTAAGTACAAGTAAACAAGTATTCATTGACTGAGATTTTTAATAACTTCACTGTTATTTATGAAATTTTCTTTCTATTTATGGTTTACATTAGGTTTTCTATAAACCAATGAAAGCATCAAAAATGTTAACTTTGCAACAATTGGATGATATTTTCCCTCATTGGAATGAGTTGATCGATACTTCAACTGAATTTTGTCGGTAAGTTAAATAGATCATTTACAATATCTAGTCTTATTTCTTGTATTCACTGTCTTAATGTCATCTGACTGTGCTAACGGGATACAACATTGCGATGCTAAAGCCCCAGAAATCACTTGGTAAATTTATCTTTTTTATAATTTTACTTTGGTGTGGAAATATACTTACATTCTAGTCAGGCTAGTCATGTATTCTTGATTTGAATTGTGTTGAAGTCCTGTAGAATAGGCACTGAGAGGGTATCCGAACTTTATAACAGTTTTCCTTGGCAATTTTGTACTGTTTATGTGCGCATGAGTTCTGTGTTTGTTTGTTTACGCTTCCGATTGCTTGTGGAATATACATTTCCCTCGACTGAATCTGATATTTTCCCTCTAGATAACAGGGCTGCGGCTCAATGGGATGGCTTAGCTCGTTCTATTGTTGTGTTTCTGTCTTTCACTCCGGTCGCCAATTTTAGGAGATATCGTAACCCCTTCAAACGTAGCAGAAACTTAGACACATCTGTCATTACTAACTCTGTGTTGATTGCTGTTGATCCGCTCCAGTAGTCATCACTTTTTATTTCTCAATAGTTTAGAATAAATAAATTAACCTCAGTATTTTTTATCAATCGTAAATGAATCAAGTATTTATTTATTTATTTATTTCAACACATAAATATTGGTACAAGGAGGCACCAAATATATATGCGCCACACAAAACAATGATAATTTGAAGAGAAGGAGAAAAGAAAAAAAAAAGTAATGAACGTGGGGAATTATAAAAAAAAAAGGGAGAGAGAGAGAACAATGGTGGGGGAAACGGAAAGGTACAATCAGAAGAGATCTTTCAATTAAGGAAGATATAACCGCTTTCTATGAAGAAAGTAAGAGGTTACAGCACGATCGCCACTGGCTTCTATTCTTAGCCATATCTGATAACGTCTCTAGCCACTGCGTTACACCGTCTCTCGGACCCCAACCAGGGAGTCGTGAAGGACCAACATAAGCCAGCCCTTTGCAGCTTTCTTTTATACCACGACACCATGTCATATACTGACCACCTCTCCGCTTTTTCCAACCAGTCCCAGAGTCGGCAAATAATGCACGACGTGGAATTCTCTGGGACGACATTCGTAGAACATGTCCAAGCCACCGAAGTCGGTGTTTCAAGATGGTGACACCAATTTCATTATCGTCTCTGTGACCGAACACTCGACGTCGAACCTCTGCATTACTGACATGGTGTTGCCACTGGATGCCAGCAATCCTTCGGAGACAACGATGATCGAACACAGAGAGTCGTCTAACATCCTCAACTCAGAGAGGCCAGGTTTCACAAGCATAGAGCAAAACTGCTCTCACCGTCGCTTATGGAAAATGAATCAAGTAGCAGCAACAACAGTTGATTTTAATTATTAGAATTATCACTTATTCAATCTTTACTTTTCTCGGCTTTTATTCAACAAATCGTTAATCGATCTATTGACTAGAGACATTCGATCAATTCATAGTTGGCGTCTTTTTTTTGTTTTCTTAACTGAACTTTGCTTTTTATACTATTTAATTAGTCGTCATCGTAAAGGATTGTTTTGTTTTATCAATGATATCATTTTATTATTATTTTGTTTGTTTCTTGTTTCTTAGTGATTTGAATGATTATGTTAAAGACGATTCATCTGATCAGTCGATTAGTCAAATCCTTTTAAAACATGTATGTAAGTGTTTTTTTATTTCTTATTTATTGTTGTCAGTATTTTCCAGATTATCTTATCATTTTAATGTTGTCGATTCAGGAATATTAAAGCTTACTGAAATTAACCAATTGTCATCGAAATATATACGATCAAGAAATATTTTATCTAAGCTCATACAATTGGTATAATGTCACAAACTTGTAGTGTACAACTGTACAACAGTAATAAAGAACGTCAGACGTTGGCAGATAGCTAAAGCTTCTAATCATATCTCTTCAAACTCAGATGCACTATTGTCCTGGTCATCTGTCATGAAACGATAGCTACACAATGAACGAAATTAATCACTACTAAAAAATAAATTTCATAAGTGTACGTAAAATAAAATCATTAATAAAAATTATGCTTTGTAGCTGTTATTCTGCACTGCAGGCATTATCTATATTCTGTGTTTCTTTTTTTAGCTGAACATCATGTCTCTAGATTATTTGGATTCCTGTAACGTTTTTATCTTAATCATTGTCTTGGCTTATTTCATTTACATTGTAGATGATTAAATTTAAAGTCTATCGTCTATATTGTACTCAACAACGTGTTGCATGTGAAACTTTACAACATTGTCTGTCATCTAATTATCGTTTAAATCAATTGGTAAAAATATTTGAAAAAAATACTAAAACCAAAGGTTTACCCCTGTCTTCATATTTGTTGAAACCAATGCAACGTATAACAAAATATAAACTAATCGTTGAAAAGGTATGTTTTATAATCGTTATACATTATTCAAGAGTTGTATAGATAGGCGTTAACATCAAAATCTCTTAAATAATAAGTTAAAATGTTCATCAGAAATTCTTAATTGCATGATTTGTGTTTTCTTATTGTTGATAATTACGATTTACGTAATCATTCTCTGTTGCCGCATGAACATTTTAAATAAATGTCTTGATTCTGTTTACTTACATTTTCAAGTTGATATTTTATGATAGTCGTTGACAGTGGAACTCGTTATTTGAAATGGCCTAAATTTCAATATCGCTTTTCACACTGCGACTCGAATTCAGCACCCATCTCTTAAGACTTCAGAGTTCTATTCTTTTAGCTATCATTTGACCACCCTATATCCCAATACTGATTCATCAACCCAGTCCTGATTATAATGCCTTTAGGAATAGTTATGGCCTATTCCGTAATGTTTGAAGAAGGTGGTAGTGCGTTATTGGGATGCAAGTAAGCTCAGTGACGGGATTTCCAAAGAAGATCGAAATTTTTCTTGAAATTCATCTTATGATTACTGTATGAAGGAATTATTGTGTTCATCGTCTCAATACGTGATAAAGTTATTGAATTTTTAATCTTTTACTTGATTCATAGTATAGGTGTTGGTTGAATAATGGTTTTTGTCGTGAATAAAGTTATGCATGTTAAAAAAGAGATTAATGTATTAATTCTTCTGCCAAATATGACTCTTTTACAACATACTTGTTTGTGAAACACTATGCACACCTTGTTGTTTCCATCAACGCTTGTTGGATTAGGTCATTTCACTTTCAGAATATTTTACTTCAAGTAGATCTATCATACTGATTTCAAATAATGAAATTAGACATTATGGACCACTTGCTTACAAAGCTTTGCAAGATATGCACTTTTTTGTAAATATTTACGTACTAAGTATTGTTTTGTAGTCATGAAGTATGTCATTTCATATAACTTTACTCAAAATAAAAGTTTCAGTTTAGCGTCCGTCTGTGGATTTCATCCGTATGCCTAGAAGTATGGAGGATGCTTATTCATTAACCATAAGACCTTACCATCGAGACCTTTATGGTTGATATTTTGACTTATGGTGTGCTTTAAGTATGACAAGAAAGGGTAATTCGAAGAAGATAACCATGAATGCAGTTTAAACTCAACTTTATAGTTACTTCCGTTTTTCGTCCTCTTCGTTTAACCCGTCGTTATAGTAAATCTGAATTATTTGACACTGTAATATGATTGTTTAAATTATGAATAATATGCTACAGAGCAACGAAAACGTAATATGTACAATAAGAAATGTCAGTCAAATCAATCGAATTTCTACAATAACGTTTTTTTTCGTCTTGCATTTGTTTATTTTTTGCTATAGGTTTAACCTATTTATGTAATATAACGTCTTTATATGATGTGATTTAACTTTTATATCTAGTGTTCATTTCTTTCTTAAATTAGATTGCAACAAATACACCTATTTCATGTCCAGACTACGATGAAGTTGTTAAGGTGAACAATTTGATGTCTGCCCTTTTAAAGTCAATTGATCATGCAATTGGATCTAAAGATAACCCTAATCGTATCGACTGGTTCCGTTCACGATTGATTGGTGCTGATAAATGGCTTCTAGATTGGTTATCTGATAATACAGCTCAACATCCTCATGACAGGCCATGTTTAGTTCATTGTGGTACACTTTATAAAGTAAGTTGTGATCTTTTTATTTTCTTGTATGACTATAATTTGAAGAATTGTTATGTTCCTCTACGGTGTTAATATTCTCTTTCGACTTATGCTTCTCACCGCTACTTTGAAATAATTTCAAATTTCGGAGCATACCGTCTTACACAAATTTTTACTAAAGTTTAATTCATTTGATCTAAACATCTATTATTTTATTTATTTTAACACATAAGTATAGGTACAGGGAGGCACCAAAATACATATGCGCCACACAAATCTCAATTGATTTGTGAGGTCTGTAATACTGCCCGGGTGCCCAGACCGAAGCAGGTGGTTGTCTTAGGAGGCCACACCCCGAGCCTTTGACCTGAACGTCTGACCCACAAGGCAGTGGAGCATCGTATGGAGATGCAGTCCCATGGTAGCCGGTGACCAACGATTGATTCATACGCCATTTGTTCCCTCAGGATACTGGAGCCCATGTGCACGATTGGTTTGGGATCCGGTTAAAGCGCCAGACATGCGGTTCTCGTCCTCTCATTTTTGTAAACAACACCCATGGCACGAGAAGGCAGTGAGTAGGACTTCCCTGGCAGGGGCTATATACGCATGGCCATGTGAGAGCATTTCGAGAGGGAGAGCGGACTCTCACCACTCTCGGCCGTACCAGGGCATTTGGGGGCGATCTAAACATCACTGCATTTTAGCTTTATTCATTAAAAAACATACCATACTAGGACGAAATGGCCGTCCAGTGCTTCCAGGTTTTCAATTGTGGTCTTGCTTGGATCGACTCATGAATTCAACTGTGAATAAAAACATCTGCTTTTGCTATTATATTTAAATATGCCACAGATAAACCAGTGTTCTGTTATTGTCTTTAATATTGTTTCTTAATATCCCTATCATAGTTACTTTCATTTATGTAATCTTTATGTTATTCATCATGTGTATGCTAGTGATTGATTTCAATTGCACTGAAATTGTCTCCTGAGTCACTTTTTAGAGTAACTAAATTGAAATCGTCCCCTTCACAAGCCAGGTTATGTTACGATATTTTTCCATGTTAATTTTTCGTTGTGAAACAAAGTGTATGTACTAAGTTAAATGACTCAACCTTCATTCGTATAAAAATCACTATTTTTAAGCAAAAATGTTTATTTTACATAAATTTTCCATCATTTATTATTATCAGGCTAAAAACAATCGAGAATTTATTTGTTTCTTATTCAACAAGTATTTCATTTTAACTACACCAAATTATAATACTAACGGACGGTTATTTGAATTTCCATCTACAAATCAATTGAATGAAATAAAATGGTCGTTTATATTATACAAAGAACCATTAGCATTGAATCAAGTGAGTAGTATCTGATTGGTTATAATATGTATACTGTTTACTTTCTAAGAAAATAACTAGGTGAATAAATTATTTATTAATCATAGTAAATCTCTTAGTGACAAGTATCAATAAATAGTTTGCTTTGAATATAGGTGTATGTAAGAGTGTATATATATATATATATATATATATATATATATATATATATATATATATATATATATATACTAACCAATGGTTATAAACATGCACAGCGAAATTTACGTAATGTATTTTAGTTTATAATTCGGTCGATAAACAAATTAGTGAACGTGTGAAATATAACTCTTTTTGATGCACACTTGACATTCTGTTCAAACATTTGGTTCATTTGTACTGTACTAAATATTACAAATAAATTACGTGTTTTAGATTTGAATAGTTATGAATGTTAACTGTGTGTACTCACAAGCAATTATAGAAAGCCTAAAACCTATCTTGATCTTTAATGCTCTGAAGCTCAGATTGAGGCATTTGTAACTATTGATATATCTTCTTTATTCTCCATCCTTTGAAGAAGGAAAAGAACTAGTTATGAATACATTGAAATTCATGTAGAATAAAAAGTAAAGTAGCTGAACTTGTAGAATACTTTTATCATTGAAGATGAACTGCAGAAATTGATTATGGAAACCATTCTGAAAATGAATTGTTTATTTAATTAATTAAGGTTGAAACTATACTAACTAAAAATTCGTTTTTATATTAAACGATTAGTGCTGAGAGTTTTTTGTTGTAACAAAATTTATGGTAAGGAATTAAGAAAGTCATTCATTATCGTTATCATAATTATTAAGATGGTTTTAACGGCGAACTTCGAATAGGTTTCAGATTTCTTTTTTGGAACGTGGAGTTGGGACCCAACACTACACTTTTCTCAACTTTCTGTGACCTCTTATTTCTATATAAAATGTTAATATTTTTTAAGTTGTTTATCGAATGATCGGTGAATAAATAAGCAGGGGGAATGAGGATTTTTAAACGGATTACCAAAGTTGGGGACTATTGCTTGTTTTGTGACTTTCACTTTTTGTTATCTGATAAGTTATACTATCTGGGTTAAATGTTTATGTATTCAGAAGAAAACTTTAACTCTAGATCATTTGGCCTTTGAAATCTCTCAGTTGTTAATTGAGGGTTAGTCCAGTGAGTAAATGTTCTTTGCAGTCATCCCAGTCATTGCTTTATGTTATAGTCCATTGCGTAGTTGTAACAACTAACAATCTTTCACTTCTGTCGTTTGTAACAGCAGTGAATTATTTGCTACATTGTGTTAAATATTTTGATGATACTGACTCACGTATATGTTAATCGAAGTGTTTACCATAGGGTCGATTAGGGATTTCGAGTTATTTTATAAAGTAGAAGTTTGAGTTGTCATGATCAAATATCATTTCCTTAATACTTTACGTATTGCGACTTTTAGTTTTTTAGAAAATAAGTTACATAAATGTATACTGTACTCCATCAACATTCCCCTTTAGAGTTTATTATAAAGGTTAGATTAAACAAACATTATATAAGAGTTTTTGATGGAGTTTTGTTCTCTGAGCTGGATGGTTTGGTCGTGGAGCTTTCATCGTTCTTCTGAACGACATCATCAGCACAAACTTCAGATAGAAGTGAAGTGTTCGAATTTCTCCATATGCGTTTCACAGCTTGTTCTGTGCACCTCGATGTTGATTGGTTCTTATTGACCTTAAATTTGTCATTGTTTACCATTTTGTCTTGGTTTTGTCTCCTATTGGTTTGATTCTTGTTTCTATATTTGTGCATAAGTTTCCTGATTGGTTTTTTTCGGGCTTTGGTATTTTCGGGCTTGTGACACCATGAGATCATCGTTAGTAAAAATTAAAGATAGGTTTTCAGAGGAAGAACAACAGAATGTTGTCTACGAAATCAACTGTCATGATTGTTATGTAGCTTATGTGGGAGAAGTTTCAAGACGATTAGATGTGAGGTTGAAATAACACAAACAATGCTTGAAAAATGTTCCCGAATCTTCGGTTGTTCCGAACAAACTTGAGAATAGGTCAGTGATAAGGTTACATGCGTTAGGAACTGGACACAAGATCAATTTTCAAGGGACCAAAACACTTCAGAAAGGTTTTGGCACACCAAGAAATATTGATAGCAGAAGCTATGTATATATGTGCTAATAAGAACAGTCTGAATCGAAGGGATAGTATTCAACTAACAATTACTTGGAAAATGTTCATCAATATGTGTTTGGGCCTTTTATCTATCCTACCTGTTCATTTTATATGCATCGTTATTCTGACAGAAATTAATGTAGGTTATTCTAGCAATGCAATTATGTATTTGATGATTCTCATTTTATATGCACATCGACAATTCAGAAACAATTTCAACCCTCAAATTTCACTTTTATTTTCACTTCATGTAAAAACAAATTAACACCTAATATCAACTATTAAGAACTCAAGCTTACACATACATACTTGATTCTTTCATTCATTTATCTTCACAATGTGAACTTTTCACATTATCCTCATATAGCTGACTCATCCTATTTCTTAAAATCAACATCTAAATGTGATTGGATTATCACAGTAAAGATTTGATTTGATTGCTAAGTATTACATATTTCTTTGATAATTTTGATTCTGATTATTACCTTGAAGAAGGCCAGACAAGTTTGCAGAATGCATCGAAATTATTTAAATCTTAATCACTGAGATTATTTCGAATATAATTTTCATATTTTATGGCTTCTCTATACTCTGCGCCCAACTTTTGTCAAACTGTTCGTTCTATTATTGACGAATATTCGTATCTTGTTATTTTAGAAACATTATAGCATTTTTTCAATGCATTCGTCTTTAATTATACGTTTCTTATTGTAATTCTTTTAGATATATGTATTTAAAGGCTCATTCAGACAAAGCACTGAATCAACATCTTCAGTTTTTGGTAGTTATTCAATAACACCTCAATCAGCACCATACAACAAATCTACAAATGATGAACTTATACGATCAGTATCCACTTCTACATTAGCTGAATCAAATGACAATCCCAATATTAATATTAGACGTCAATCTGAAATTGTAAAATATTCAACGACAAATGTATTCTCATTATTTAAACGAAGAAATTCTTGGCAACCTATAGTGACTTTAAAGGCTCCATCGAATGAACTTTGGTAATTTTATAAATTTTATTTAATTTATACATTGTGGTGTTATTTGTTTTGATGGTAGCCAGTCGAAAACATCGGATTCGGATCATATTTTTATTAAGAGGTTGTAAGTGTATGTATAACTTATGTGATCGCTTTGTATTAACCCTGATCATAAAGTCCTAATTTTTACTATATCAGTAATCTGTAATATAAATCGATGATCCTTTTAACATCTGGAATCGTTGTAATCTCAGTAACATACATTTTATGGTCTAAAACATTTTGCTCCTGAGGTTTCAACACTAGTTTTACATCATGAACTTAAACAGCCATTGTAAACCAAGAATCACTAGACAACTGTTTTGTCGTAATATGGGACTCTTCTGGAGTTTCATATTCATGATCCCGAATGGGATTGAACCCAGGACCTTCAGTCTTCACACATGACCACTGTTTAACTGAGTTGACATCCGATAATTTACATTTATATTTTGTGTCTATTATTCATTGATTGGTGAAATTTATCTCAGACCTAATACTTTTGAACACCAATTGTCATAGTTTCTCACTTACCTCTTGAAACTATTCCTTAGTAAGTATATTGGGATATTTCAGTATAGACGGTTGTGCAGATGTTTAGACTTTGTAGTTTTACATTATGAACTGATTTTACCTAGATTATTTCGAAAGTTTACTGAAGTTAAAAATGTCAACTGACAATGATAGCATTTCCAACAGATCAGTTATGATATTAATCTAAATACAGAATTAGTAAATTATCTTTGTTTACGTGTGTGTACAAACATCCTCTTATTATTTCTTTTTTTGTATATGAATCACGTAGTGATCTTTGGGTGTTAATTTTGAGAGATCAAATTAAAGCTGCAAGCAATTTGTCTAACTCACATTCTTCTTATTCACCATGTAAGTTAAATCTTCTATATGGCTTTTTTTAAATAGTAAGTAACATAATTACTAGCTTAAACACATCCAACATATTCATTTAAACGCATATTCTTTTTCTCACTTTCCCGAGTCTCAGTTTGTCCAACAAGTGTTAGAAAAATTTTTGTTGACATATTCCGTCGTGTATTGGATTGTTCTGCTTAACTTAAAATTTGTTTCGTTTTTATCATTATTTTACATAACTCGTTCTAATCTATCAAGTACAAATTCGTCTACTTAGCTTCAGTCATACTTTAATTATGTGATCTAGGGATAATGCTTTTTTCCCCAATCTAAAGTAGTTAGACTAACGTTAAGTCGAACACTAACCGCCTCCGCCACATAAAACCCTCATCATTTTTAATTACTAAGACCATAATTAGTATCATTAACACAAGCTTTCTCCGTGTTATTCAATTGAGTTAAATATGTTCGACTATATCAAGACCGAATACTAATGAAGTTTAGAAATCTCAAGACTCAAATGCCGACATTTATTTCCGTTGGAATCTTACACATCAAACAGGTATTCATTTCAAAGTCTGTTGAAAATTTGGCACTGAATTTTCCGTTTCTAATTAAGGAAAACAGTACACATATTAAATCATATTTTGGCAAAAATTAATAGCTTATGAAATTTAAAACCATCATTAGTTATAGATATTCATATATATTCAATGTTGATATTCAAGGTTATTTTTCTACCCCCCATTTACTTGTATTTTCTTTTCGACATTCAAAATTATAGTCATATTCCTTTGTTTGGTCAAAGATATGATTAGTTATTTTCTGGTCAACTTCGTCAATTGATCTGTTTTTTTCACGATCCAGTTTTAATTTTAGAGACAATGTGAAATACATACTTAGCGTCCATTTGTTGCGTAGGTGATAGTCAATAATATATTGAATAAAGAAATTGATAGACATATCAACTTATTGTACATAAGTAGACCAAATAATTTTCATTGGCTGTCACCTATGTGACAGTTTGTAGCTGACGGTATCTGTCGCATTCTCATCGTTATAATAATGTTTTCCGTTTAGCACTTTCGTCCATTTTTTCACTTGCCAAGTGAGTGACTCCTGTATATCAGAGTATAGTTTTCATTAGTGATTTCATTTCAAGCTCTAGTTTCCAATCTGTTCGTATGTGTTAATCCTGGATTTCGGCTACGTTATACTGACATATCCATAGCAGACAATTGTGCATTACTCCAGACGCTTAAAATGAAATCTTTGATGTAATTACATTTTGGTATCTAGTACTCATCGCTTAAATGAATAGGAAAATCACTGAAAACGCTTCGTTTAACATATTACCTCTTCATTGAAAGCGTGACGGGTAAGATCACACTAATCTGTTTGACTGTTCATTGAGATCTGTATCAATCCTATGCTGTGTTCTAATTGTTATATTCGAAAATAATGCAGGTATTTTGAACATATGATCTATATCTAAACCTAACATTACTAATATTAATAATAATAGTGACACTAATCAAGTAAATTGGATAGTATATCTCATATTGACTAACTCTAAACTTTATTAACCTTCCCAACATCATTAGCCTATCCGAACCCACCTATAATTTTTTGTTTCCTTTCAATGATTCCTTGCTAACATTTATCCACTAAATACTGAGTTATCCTCATTTTCGATGTTTTCTTTTTCTTTTACACTTTTATTCAAAGCATTGAAAGATGAATACCCACAACATTTACTGTTTACGGTTTCAAAAGTTTGCACTAACTCACAAGGTATCTCATAATGTTTATGAAGAGTAATCCGATATTTTTAAATAAGCCTTTTCCAATAATCACTGTTCTGCTACATTGTCCTCTTACAATTACACAGCTGGTATAACGCATAACTGTTTTTTGCTTGTAATTTGCGCGGTGTTTGCGACATTTCTAGAAAATGTAATGTAGCTTAACAATCTATGCTGTGTCTGGGTAGCGAGAGAAGACAGATGCACATCTAATGCATCATGAATACTTCACTAAATTTATCTTTCAGATTACTTCATCCAGGTTTGTATTTGTATTAATCTTGATTAAACAGTCGGACAAAAGTTTCCACCGTCACGTGACTTAGCTTACCCAAGTTATGACAGGATGGTTTATCAACTACAGCTATTTTAACATTCGAAGTCCATGGCAAATCAGGATATCTATCTAATCTTATTTCGAATACACTACAATTTATTATTCGCTCGACTATTTTCCAAATTTGGAGTTGTATAGTACTATTTTCTTGATGTGGACTTGAAGATGTGTAAAATTTACTCATCTTATTGACACTCATTTGTAGTCCTGGTAATTATCATTTTTTAAACTATTAAACCATATGCTCTAAATTATAAAAGACATTAGTTTAGTCTAAACATTCAAATAATTTGTTCTTATCAAAGCAAAATGTTTGTGAAGCACATTCACAAAATAGCAGCCCCTTGGGATATATCTCTTGGTAAATTATCACAGTTGCTGAATTCTCAGCATCTAGTGAGCAAAAGAAAAGTCAAATAAGTATCAAATCTTGTTTTATAAAAATCCAAAACACAACTTTCGGCAACTTAGTACCTTTGCAGATATCCACTGATCTATTTGTTAATTATAACTATTGAATTTCTTTATTTTCATCTAAATTAAGTTCACTCTATGAGCTTGTTAACAATCATTCCTCCAGCCGTTTTCTCATTTAGAAGTGTTAATAATGTTAAAAATTCACTTAAATAGTAGTGAAAATATGTTAATGAGTTTTGGTACAATATCGTTTGTTGACCTTCATCGCTCGTTACCTACTTAAGTACTTTGGAAATCATTACTAAAAGTGTTTAGCATAATTTAATGACTATCATAGTCTTCCTATTAAAAGAAAGTTAGAGCACTTATTCACTCTTAAAACCAAGAATTGGTAATGTAAGCGTTTTATTAAGTATCTCAGGAATACTAAAAATCATCAATACCAGGTATCAAGTAACAACATACTATTAACTCAGATTTCTACCATTGAACTTGACTATTTTGCTACTGTACATTTTTTGTTTTAAAACATAAATAACCCTAAATATTATTCATATTTTGTCTATTCTCACCTCTTTTTCATTTTATTTCAGTTTGTTTTTCGTACAGCTTAAAACTGTTGCCACATAGAAGACTATTCATCATTTTACCACTTCAATGATTCATTAAAAAAAACACTTTCTTTGTCTTATTAATAATTTGGATACATACATATGTTAGTCTATTTTTTCTACATTTATTTCATTTCAGATCAATTCGAAGTTCACTTCAAGATCAGTATTACTGATCAAATATGGAAATTTTGTCAAATATTTGCTAATCAATCGTTAATAGAATTTAAAACTTCTGAAACGTTAAGTTTTTTGATACCGGAATCTTTAGAAAAGTGTTTACATATCACTGCCTTCAAATCGTTACCATATACTAATTCAAGTAGGTGATTTTGTTTTGCTGTTCCGTATGCTAATCAATATATGTAGTCACACATCATATATTATTATTTAATCAAAACTTTTATGGTATGATAAAATAAAAATCTTTTCATGTCACTTCAATGGAATTTTTAGTTACTACTTTTTACTGCTTTTATAAGTTGGCAGTTGCTTAAGTGAGTAGTTTATCAGTTAAGGAATTTGACTTTTAGATACTCATTTACGAGCCGAAACCCCACTACATGTACTTTGGTTTAGCGAACTGAATAGTATCACTGGTTCTCACACTTAATATGAAACTTAAATAAATTAGTCTGTACCTAGTTGGTAAGTAATTTAAAGTTTGTTGAGATTTTTTCTTTGGTAGGTAGATTGATAGATCACATAACTTCTGTCAGATAATAAATCCATAACTTCCTGATTTTTTATTCATCTTCTAAATATGAGATTATCCAATAATACATTAACACTTATTCACATATGCATTTGTGTTATGTGTTGTTCTGACAACTTTCTTTCCTCATGTAACTGGTACTGATCGCATTTTTATTGTTTCACATCTTATATCAATATCTTCAACCTACTTCTTTGGTTTAAAATTAATAATTCTGATTTTCAATGTAATTAACGTTGAGTAATATCACTGAATTAAGAATTTTAGCTCAATTATTCAGAAATACAAATTTTAAGAATTCGTAACAAAAAATGAATGTGAAATTTTATCTGGCTGGATTACACATTTTACATTTGCACCTAGCGCGTATAACATCATTAGCTCACAAATTTATACTTAGTTGTTGAGTTATGTTTCCAAATTATATAGAGACAGTATTAATCTACAAACTCATTAACTCTTAGACTAAGTCATATAAACGTCTTGATTAAAATCTGTACAATAATCTTGATTCAGTCAGTAAAGACATTTCTCAAAGTCAGTCCCAGTAGGCCGTATACATTCATCCTTTGTGTTCCTTTTGATATTCAATCTCAACATAATATCCCACAAATTCGTTCCTTCTGTACAAATCATATTCTCATATATTTGATCTTTTCTTCTTAATTACTGGCATAATACACAATTATGCCGACCTCTTTTTTCTGTGTGCCTTATTAATGTCATCTCGCTGTGTTGAGCCACTGCACAAATTTACCCTGTTTTAACTAACAACATTTTCAATATAATTCATGTATGTAATAGTACTATTATAAATATCTATATTTTCTTAATATATGCCCGTTTATTCTATGAACACTATAAAGTATCACTGTATTAATTTAATCTTACTATATTACTATTTAGATATAATTGGATCGTGTATCGTACCATTTTCAAATATATTCATTAATTTTCCACCAACTTCAATTGAATCATTTACTAAACAACTTGAATTGAATCAGTCTATCGGTATGAAAATGGAGTTCATCATAGAACTTACCGTTTAAGATTGTCAGTAATAATAATAATATATTAATCAAATAGAATGCCATTTACTTTCTTATTCTCATAATTATATGACATATTATCGTTAAGTTTTATTTTATTCCGAAGAGGTTAAGCATAAATTATCAATTTAATTTTTACCGATCTCTTCTACATATGGTTCTTGATCATTTTATTGGTGCTTTTTTTCTTTTTCACATTTATCACTGACTCATTTACATAAACCTTCATAGATTGATATAATTACATGTACATTGTGCTTAGTGTTCATACTCTTTCCCATTTTTCACAAATTTACTCTATATTTCAATAATTCAGTGTACAAAATTGAGACCTCATTTTAACTTTATCTGTTTGTTCGCTTTCTTTTGTAATTTATGGTCTTAAATTTTTGTTAATAAAATTTTACCAGTGATTCTTTTATCTTTTCTCTCCCTAATTTAAATAAAGCTGTTTGTTATTGATTGTTCAAATTATTATGAAAGAGCATTGGATGTTTAATAATCTTTATCGATCTTGGGTACAATGAGACATTAATTGATATGACAGTGAAATTCCTTAGAATTTAAAATTAAAGTTTTCATGACTAACTGGCTACGAGATAGTGAACGTTCAGGTCGCTAGACTTTGATTGAACGATAATGTTATGCTTTTCTTAAAACCTAATCGTCAGTTCTCTTTAGAGACTCCTGATAAATGCCACAGTTTTCACTCACCTAACGCCTCAAGATAGTCCGCGCGATATCACACCACTAAGTCTGGCGGCTACATTGCAACTTGATCGATAGAATCCGATCAGTATCAATAAGTGATGGATACACCTGCACCATTGTGAACGCTTTTAAGCTGTATAATTCAAAGTCTTTAAGCATTAGTTACAATAATCACGTGAATTCCGATCGGATAGTCTGTAGCATGGCTAAATCTAATTGTCACTGACATGGACTGACGCCATGTTTTGGTTTGGCCGCATTGCTCCGGATGCTGATTGTCCTAGGGAAACAATTTACTGCTGCCACGCCCCTCTACAGACTTCTCTCTCGGGCCTTAAGTTGCTGCTTTCACTCTTGCGTTTCTCCAACTGCCCTGTCTGGGATGGTAGGACTTTAATAAACATGTGTTCTAGCCAATATAGCTCGGCTGATTCATCATGGTAGGTAAGCCCGACCCCACTAACACGTCAAGGTGGTCGAGACACTGGTAACTACTAATTCGTCGATCATTTGTAAACGATATACACTAATCAAGTATTTTTAATTTTTGAATACCGCGCATACTAGTGTCCTCTTTATCGTTGCACAGTGTTATATTAAAGCTATACCACATTTTTGTCATACCTTATTATTATTTACTGATATTTCTATTTGAAAAATAGGCGACAAAACTACGCAGCCTCACTAAGTGAGCATACATATGTGACGCTACTTAGAAGACTTGTTTATCTTTATTCAGTATTTTATTAAAATTCTATATGAAACATCAAGTATACGAGGAGAACCCGTGTTATTTGTCTTCCAGTATGTAAATAGCATTTAGTACTCCAAGTCTATGTCCTTTTTTAATTGCTCGTTTTTCAGGATCCGGCAATCGTAAAGAAGCTCAATTTAGCTCCAGATATCAGAGATGATTATGCTGAATTATTTCAAATTACACTATGGACTAGCATAGCATTGATTCTAGTTGTATGGGGCGTTTCTTGGGGCATCTGGAATATGGATCCTGGACGAGATGGGATTATTTATCGAGGTACAATGGCAAGACCTAAACAAGATTAAACATTTCCTTTCTGTATCACAAATAAAATACATAATCTTTCTAACACAAAACTCAGCATAATTTAACTATTTATCGAGTGTTTCCAAGGGTTTTGTTTGATTTTTTTAAACATTCTTGAAATCTTTGGTCGTTGTTTTGGTTTATATCGTTAAAAATAACATATTTATAAATCTACAATGTCTTATTTATCTGTAATGTCATAATGTTCGCTGAAACGTCTTTTATTATTTAATTTAAGGCATGATAGAAAAAAGTATCTAGTGTTTTCCTTCCAAATTTTTCCTGAGTTGTTGTATTGTATAATCAATTTATTATCAATATATGATATAAATATTGCATAAAAACGAACTATTCTTATGTCCATTATCAATATGACCGAATATGTTTATCCTGATTAGAGCATTAAATTTGTCGAAGTTTACCGTTCAGTTTTACAGTACTCCTAAAATCAAAACTATATCACATTTGTCTAATTCATCTGTCTGGTTAACATTAAAAATCTCCCTTAGTTATTAGCTTCATTATTTTCCAATTATTTTATGTTAAGATAAAAAGAATATTCTTCATATACCGGATTTAGAATCCTCTTGCTAAATTGTAAAATACATACATAGTAATCATGAGAAATTAGTTACATTGATATACAATACTGAGTATTTATTAATACAAAAGAGCTCAGACGTTCGTTTTTTGCTTTATCTGTTTCACTCCAACGTGTTTTCTCCTTGTTCTGTTATTCTGAAGAGCTTATATTGTCTAGGAGTCTAATATGACTTTCAAGTCGGCATTCCTTCGGAATATAACATGTTTCTTTTTGTGAAATTAGTATTTCGATCACCGTCAATATGAGAGTATTGTTTTCTAGTAGGTAATAAACATGCTTTTAAATGCTTACTTTACAAGTTGCATTTCATTCACTGTAAAAAATCTAACTCAAATATATTTGATTATTAATTAACAAAGACTGAGTGTATATTCAACTTAGTCTAATTTATCGCTTTAACAGTATTTGCATTTACAAAATTTGCCAGGCTATGTGACGGTGCTACACCGATTTCTGTCTGTATTAAAATGGAAAGCAACAGTTTATCGAATGTTTGAATCAGCTATGTGAAAGTTCTTCATGCTAAACTCACCAGATGAGGCTAAAAGTTTTTTACCAAATTACCACCCAGAGCGGTTATTTTCATCTGACATGGATTCCTAGTGTATAGAATATCAAATATAAACTGGAAATTTAACTGTCAAGTAGAATAGGCAATATCGGAAATACTCAGTATGAATCTCGGCCAACTCATGATTATCTATATTCTTACATTAATGGTCGACCCTCTAATTATCACATCTTAAATAAATCGATCCATTCATAATTCAGCGAAAATCGAAACAATCCTAACACGTATTATGCATAATTATTACTATACGCTCATTCATCATATTGAATTGTGGGCCTCCATTTTATTGTCAACTATCAGGTTTGCCTAGTTTTTATCAACAATGTTCTTAAATCAATATACAACTTGACAGGTGAGGTTACAATAATGATAATCATTATACGATTCGGGGTTTTTGTGGCGATTGTAGTATGTTAATAAATATAAATTCAGGAGTCGAATAAAGCCAGACCGCCTCTACGACAGATACGGTTGAACTAACACTGTCGAATGCGGGCTCAGTGGTCTAAAGGTTAAGTGTTCCCATTTTGGGGTCGTGGATGCGCACTGCTGAGTCCCATACTAGGTTTTCCATGGTGGTCTAGCCTTAATTGACTCATGAATTTAACTACTAAATGATAATTATGCCAGACACCAAAGCCTTTCATCATATGATATTTGATTATTGATAGCCACATTATCGGTGAACGATTGATTTTTTACCTGTAACATAGCTTCTTGATTGGTTAACTAAAATAACCTTGTGACACATTTAAGGTAAAACAAGTCTTTGTTCTATAACTAAAAGGTACATTTCAAATGACTCGCGTTCATAAACTAGTGTGTGGTTAATATTTGTTAATGTGTAACGATAACGGTGAAATAGTCTGAACAGTTTCTGAAAAAAATATCCGAAATTGTAAACATACATTTTGTCTAGATAACTCAAATATGAATAAATGTTTTTTTTACTATTCCAATCATACGATCTAGGTTATAAATGATTGGTTTGTAAAATAAAGAATTAAACATATATAATCGGTACTCACAATAAAACACTAACATCCTAATTCAATTTGCATGTCACAAAAATATTGAGAATTATAACATCAAAGTAACAAACATATCACACTATGAAACTGGTATTAGTTTCATAAAAAATACCGTACTTCAATTATCCTTCTTATCAGACATAAAATTTCAGAAATGTAAATTTTGACTGCCTCAAATTGTCAGCTTTACTAAATCAATTTTATGAAAGGTTTTTCAAAATTAAAAAATCCTTCACGGAACGTCTCGAGTGCAGAACTATTCTAATCGATTTAATGGTTTTATAGAAAATTTGTCATTTGTTAGAATGTTATGCTAACTGGTGAAATGAATCACTGGTCGTTTTATACCGTATTCTGTAAATGCGAATTTGATAGGTTTATTGAAACAAAAATTATTCAAATGCTTAGTCGACAACTGAACGAGTCGTTCAAATCCAATCCGTGCATATTAAAATAATAAGTACTGAACTCTTGCGTAAAATATACACATTAGTGTACACAAACATGTTACATGCCTGATTGTTTGAAATAGTAGTTATCTAAGAACAATTCCATAATGGAGGGTGATAACTAGGCGTGATATCCAGATTTCGAATTCATAGTTTAGTGAGTGACCAACAAAACTCATATCTTACAATTACCTATGTTGTAACTTCTAATCATCTTTGTTTTAGTGATTAGAATTTGACATACATTTATGTCATTAAAAATAAACGACTGATTGCCATACATCTTGATACTCATTCGTGTGGGTCTATCGCATCAATAAGTCTGTTTTCATGGGTAGTCATTATCAAATCAGCCGGCCGACCGATCGCATATTTAAAACGGAAAATGTCCCTTCACTATCGAAAAGCCCAGTTAACGATGTTACTAAGGCTTTAATTTTCCTTGTTTATATAAATGCTAATACTACCGAAATATTCATCATTGCAAGGAGAAAAATATGGGAAGGGATTGAAACTACTATCTAAAGCCGAAGTTCCCAAAGATTAGTTATTTAGTTTGATTCTTTGCTGAGTTTAGAAATTGATAGTGCCTATATTCATTAATAGCATAAAGGCTATAGACGGTCCTCATTCTCCTGAAATGTCAAAATACATTAACTACAAAAATCATCGTTTGACTCTATGAGTAGCTGGATACTACTTTTACAGATATTGAGTACTTAAGAGCTTATCGACATTATAATGTAGGCAAATTTTACAACCGATGATCATCTACGGTGGAATATAAGTGTTGTCATCTGCAAAAATACAACATGGAAAAACGTACTACTTGTAGGTAGTATGTCAAATAGTATACCAATTTTTTACCATATCGATAAAAGGATACATGTCGTCAGGGCTTTTTCCCTTCATGATGAAAACTGTTTGATCGATCTTAAACTACATTCTACTCTTGTTATTTGCATAATGAGACAGCTAAAATCACTGTGGAGCCTGGTACAAAGTAATTTCGCCCAAGTTACCATACAACAATAGTACAACGAGATAAATTTAAGAAGACGTGGGTCTGAATCCACCATCAGGCAGCATCAGTCCTTTGAAGACTATAGGCATACTTTTCTGAATAGTACCAATTAGCAGAAGGCCTAAGTTCAGGATTCCCCGTAGACTACCTACAACCACCTGGCATCTGAATAGCGACGAAATCGAAACAATACCGTAGTAGTGGTAGTGAGAATGGTATGTGTGAGAGAATACTTGAGCTGAATACCTAGAGTAGGAGAGAAAATTAATTAATTAATGCATCTGTACCACTGTGACTGATTTTCAGCCATCACATAAAACGTCTCCAGCATATATCAAACCAGCAGTCAACGTGTTTTATAATGTGTATGAAGTAAGACAATTGAAATATTTTTGTCACAATAATTAAAGGTAGCAGAAGGGTTAAAAATAAGTGATATCAGAAACAATTATGGATAAAACCATGAGGATATTAGACATAACTGACGAGAGAGGGGGATATTTTCAAATACGAAATTTAGTAACATTAATGCCAAGGTAACGATAAGACGTACTTCTTTTGTACGCACAAGAGTGAGAGGAAATCAGTTAGAACTTTAATCCTTTGATATTTAATTGACCCTTATTATTCTACTGATCCACAGGTTGATTTGAATGTTGTTTATAAAATTCGTCCTAACCTACCTAGATCTCTTTGTATCAAACTCCTCAAAACAGAAGAAACTCTTGCCATCCATGAGTTGAAGGCAGAACTGAATAAATATGTCTTTTTATTATCATTACCTTGGCCTCAAACTGTTATTATTATTATTTTATTTCACATTTGAAAATATCCCCCTCTCTCGTTAATTATGTCTCATATCCTCATGATTTTGTTCATAATTGTTTCCGATATCACTTCAGTTCGTTTTTACCCCTCTGCTATTTCTAATATGGTTTATAACAAAAGAGAAAAATATGATCAAGCAAAAAACTAAGTTGAGCATTATCATATATACATTAAATTAATTTATGAAAGAAAATCTCAAACAAAACAATACATATGAATATATTACTTACATACTAACAATATATTGAATTATCATATTGTTTTTAGGAACATATACAGTTAAATTACATTTTTGAAAAAAAAAGATGATTGCTACATAAACATGTAGAAATTGACAATTTTAGGAAAATAAAATAATAATAATTAAGTAATATGAATTAATTGTCATTTCTGTCTTTCATATATATTATATATTACATACAAATGAAGTTATCATAAACAAATTACTTTTTATGTATAAAATTTAGGTTTGTAAACTCTACATATAATTTATCACATACTGACTAGTTGTCTATACGAATATTCGTCAATGTTAAAATGAATAGTTTGACAAAAATTAAGCACCGAGTTGTGTGTTCATTAAAAAAACATCTATTCCATTCACGTAAAATGATTAATGGACAATTCAATCTAGTTCAGAATCTTCAGTTTCCTCGATTACAGATTGCTTTGGGGGCGGAACAAAAAAACACATCAACAAATAAAGAGTGAATTTTGTTTAGATGAAATACAACAGAATATTATACTTTCTGTCTATTAAATGTTTTTCTTTAAACAAAACTGAATTCGCATCCAACAATGTCGATTGTCTTAAAACTAACATACATCGCAGATCAAAATAAAAAGTACAACCAATTTTCTTAAAACACACAAATGCTGAAAACTTATTTCAATAATTTACAATGATGTTATTTGTATCATCAGGTGAATGGAATAGTAGACAATGGCAGGTTAACATCTTTTTGACTACTGTAATAAGAAGACAACGGTTATCAGGATTATGTGATATATATTAGATGAATTAAACTGTACGCCATTGCACAAGTTAGTGACTATCTGGACTCAGCAGCTAAGTGAGTAACGCGATGCTGTTCGAAGTGAACGGTGCTAGGTTCGAGATCCGGAGTAAACATCCAGCTGACGAGTCCCAGACAGGCAAAATGCGCATCCTGAACCCTACTTCTAGTCATCATCCATCTTGGCTTACAAAGGGACTGTTTTAAATTTTTAACATTTTTTTCACTAAAACAACTTTAAATAAAACGGTGGTAACTGCTATTTGTTTCTACTCTAACTTTGTGGTTATACAACATTGGTTTCAAGAAGTTCCAATTGGAAGTATCGATATGTAAAGTCATATATGTTGAGAATGAGAGTTACATATCGATAACAGAATGAATATTGTATTATATTATATATTGGCTTCATATATTAAACATTTGATTACAACATAATAGTCTTCATCGTATCGTGGTTACCTCTAAGGCTAGAGGTCATTCATTCAATCTCACGTTCAATCCCCCAAATGTACACTAATATGAGTCACAAAAAATAATTAAAACCAATGTTGATCACTACTTAATTTTTAATAACACAGCTGAGAAAAACTACATTTAAAAGAAGTTGCCAAGTTTTTACTTAATTATCGATGTTCTATTTGGTTGAAATTATTATGAAGAATGATGTATAGTCTTAGTTACATTACATGTTAATTGTATTCATAACTAAAGTGATCATTAATATTTTTGTTTACATCTTCAACACTAACACAGTTTGATTTGCGTGTAGTATGTCTTTATTTGATTACCAATCACTGAAAATGTACTCTTCGCCTAAGTTAGATTTGCTTAACACTTTATCTCCTACACTTACTATTACTGATCAAAATGTGTTACTTTTTTGTCTGATTATATCTTTACCAGTTATATTATTTCACTTCCAGGATGAAAACATTTGTTAGTTTGAATTCTTTAAAGAAATGACTGACGAATAAATTATAAGATAAATTATCTGATCTTAATTTATTATTTCTTCTCTTCTAGCAGTAAGAAAAGGCACTTATTTAACATTTCTAAGTCAAAGAAAAAAAATGTGATTGATGCATAAATTATAACTAACAATACTCCCCCAAGACATTAAATCCATAATAATTCCAAACAACGGTTTAACAAATGATTGGGTCTTCACAATTCGTGACAACATCCATATTCTTCCAATTGCATAATGGCTTTCTACTATACAATTAGTCCTGTTTTAGGGTCTTTACTAACTTTCAGTTGTTTTTATTGCCATTTGTTAAACAAACGAAATATCGACTTTTTTGTAAAGGCAGTACGCAATAGTTCTTTACATTCTTTCGGAATTATTAAAAACTCACCCAACCACCACGTTTATACACCCAATCTGCATACCATCGTGTAAAAAAAGTAATTGTATAATCTTTGATTCGGCCTATATTTGCTCGACATTGACCAGTATCACGAATTATTGTTTCATATGTTGAATTTGATGGATATAAATTACTTTGAGGTGATTTACTTGATACACGATAAATACGACTGGGGATTTCAGGAAAAAAACAAAGAAAGGAATAACTATGAAACGGATAACAACTCAATACGGTAGGCCAACAAGAAGTAGCCTAATGAGAAGGTCAATTGATGGCAATCGGAAGTGACCTAAAAATAAAGTGCATGTTATTAGCTAAGAAATGGACCAATTATCAAAGTCTTAAAGTGGTATACATATAAATGAGTATTTACGCACTTTATTCGGTAGCCCAATATACATTCTTACTCTTGTGTTCTCGTTCAAGTAGTCAGTTGGGGAGTTAGCGCGTAGCACACTGTGTATCAGTATCAAAATTTGAACACCGCTCGACACAACACAAATATTATTCAGTTTATTATTATAAAAGTTAGTGTTCCCATAAATACAAATAAAAGCTGAAAATCAGTTACTCTTGATTTATTGGTGTATACGATTTCATTGTTCTTGATGAGAACATTGTACATAGATGAAATTTAATTACTCTTGTAAGCAACAGTTTATCGAATGTTTGAATCAGCTATGTGAAAGTTCTTCATGCTAAACTCACCAGATGAGGCTAAAAGTTTTTTACCAAATTACCACCCAGAGCGGTTATTTTCATCTGACATGGATTCCTAGTGTATAGAATATCAAATATAAACTGGAAATTTAACTGTCAAGTAGAATAGGCAATATCGGAAATACTCAGTATGAATCTCGGCCAACTCATGATTATCTATATTCTTACATTAATGGTCGACCCTCTAATTATCACATCTTAAATAAATCGACCCATTCATAATTCAGCGAAAATCGAAACAATCCTAACACGTATTATGCATAATCATTACTATACGCTCAACTATCAGGTTTGCCTAGTTTTTATCAACAATGTTCTTAAATCAATATACAACTTGACAGGTGAGGTTACAATAATGATAATCATTATACGATTCGGGGTTTTTGTGGCGATTGTAGTATGTTAATAAATAAAAATTCAGGAGTCGAATAAAGCCAGACCGCCTCTACGACAGATACGGTTGAACTAACACTGTCGAATGTGGGCTCAGTGGTCTAAAGGTTAAGTGTTCCCATTTTGGGGTCGTGGATGCGCACTGCTGAGTCCCATCTTAGGTTTTCCATGGTGGTCTAGCCTTAATTGACTCATGAATTCTGTGAAACAGATGAGCAATAGTTTAAATACAAGTTATAGTGACTCATCATGTATTAAAACCACTAAGCAGTACATTAAATCAATCAATATTACTTTACATTGAAAATACAAAAGACATCTAGATAGCGGAATCATTTGCTCACAAACATCTAGAGCATCAAAAGATGCATCACTTAGTAACCAAGTTTCATGGTGCATTCAACCTCACTACATAAACTCAAATATCCTCTTTGAATATCCACTGTTTATCGAAAATTACAAAGTGATACAAAAACAACCAATTATTTTGTACGATAGTACTTTAAAGCAGCGAATTCCATTTTTTGATAGATAAGAAACGTTCATATAAATATATTGTCCTTGATTGGCTAATAACATTCAACCAATAGCATCATAGTGCATGCAAAGAGCGTATCTATCACTAATCATTTTCGTGAAGGTGGTTTTGAGGAGATTGTAATAATTTAGTAGTTGAATTCATGAGCCGATTAAAGCTAGACCACCATGAAAATCCTGGAAGCACTGGACGGCTGTTTTGTTCTAATATGGGACTCCTCAGTAGTGTGTACCCAAGATCCCGCTTTAGTTGACTCATAAATTCAACCATTAAATTACAAAATTTCCACAAGACCACTCCTCAATCTGATAATAATCATCATGTGCTCACTAGTGACTGGCTTCAAGAGATACTTCCTGGAGTCCTAGTGAGAAGCAGTGACCAGTGGAGTCCGACTGTATCTGTTGTGAGGCAGTGACTCACTGAAAACAGTGGTGAACGGTGGGGCAATTTCGTGAATTGGTTAGAGTTAGACATTAACACTGTTGGATACCGGCTCGACGGTTTAGAGGTTAAAAGTCCGTGCACGAGACCGAAGGCCTTGTGTCCGAGTCCCGCGAGCGGGATGAAAGCCAGATAATATGATTGGACTCTAATGGTCACTGTTTTTAACGAGAGAACTAGGAATCGCATCTCAGAATTTATCATTTTTGAGCACACGATAATTATCAGTATAGGGGCTTTTAGAAATTGTTGAATTTTGAATTTTACATCACGATTGGTTGCTAATTGAGTTTTCTGAATATTAAGCTCTCGCCATGGGACATGAAGGTCCAGAGTTTGATCCTCGATGAGATCATGGAAGTGCACTATTTGCCGCCTAATACTAGGAAGAAATAGCTGTCCAGTTCTTCTTGGTCTTCAAGGTTATTTACTAATAGAAACGTTGATATTATTTTAAACAAGCACTTATTTCGTTGGTAAAATTTTGTGTATTCGATACTTAAATAATGAGTTCTGTTGGTGAATAGGATAGCAACTACCCAGTTATATTCAGTGTTAAAACGTAATGAAAACTAAAATCAAACCTAGAATAAAGTACTTGTCAATAATCAAACTATGAACTGCTGCAAACATACCAGTCATAGAATGATCGCTTGCGACCATCTCCCTAAATCAAATGGATAAAAACTATACACCAAACAATTGTAATAATCAAATTTATTTAATTTCTATAAAACTACCTACCTTCCTGATGATTGTAAATAACTTTCATCAATTTCCTCACTATCTGAAATAATATTTATCGATTGACGTAATATTGATGAACTTGTAGTTGACTCTTGTATTGTTTCCAACTTTTCCATATGTAGATTTAATATATGTCTAACTGAACATCTAGTAAGATAATAAAGAATAGCGATTCTATGCCAATTCGGTTGTCGACCTAATAAATCTAGGATATCAGCCTCGAAATTCGGATAATTTGTATGATTTACAAGACGATTTAATAAATCCTCTGTTATAATTAACTAAATTAAATTTCAAGATAATAATAATAATAAAAGCCAATAACCATGAATAGATTATGTGTACTATAAACAATTGGATTAGAAAATGTGCAATTCGTACAACTAATTATGAACAAGTTTGAATTTTACCATTAAAAAATAAATTGTCAAACTCAATTTGATTATACGTAAATAATTGGTTTTAAAAAGGGATAAACATCGATTCATCATATCTAAATAATTAAATGAAACCGTTGAGAATACAAAAAATAAACGCTAATTCATGTATGAGATTGTTTACGAGACGGAGACTAAATGAGCTAACACACTAATCTATTGAAGAGAATGATATGAGGTTGTCTACTGGTTACCATTACAATTCACCAAAATTTCAGGTGTCTATAATAACATCATATATTCTATTAGATTACAAGAGGTGTTTTGTTTTCTAATGACTTTAAAAAACAGGATTTATTCAAGTTTGATTTATATAATGTATTAGCTGACATCAATTAATGATAAAAATCACTTCCAAATTGTAAAACGATTCCTACAAAATTACTTCAGTTTTCAACGTATACCCACTAGTGATTGGTTCTGAGATGATTCGCGAAATTATCCAGCGATGAAATTGGATGAGTATCGCGCTGTATCGAAAAACTGACTGAAACTGAAGGTGAGAAACACTGAACTCAAAAATAGTGGTTCCAAGGTGTCGTCTTCGATGAGAAAACTAAGGTTTCATAGTACATCTTTTGTAGTTTTGTTGTGCACCGATAAAATGGCAGAGCAAGACTCATAAGTTTGAAATGATTCTCTAGTTGGGACAAGTTCGAAGTAAAATTTCCATCAAACTTCGAGTATCAAAGAATAACATGTTATTTCGAAGTAGTGAGGTACACAGTTTGTTTCCAAACGTAGTTATTACCTAAAGATAACGACAACACCCACTAGTATAAATTATTCTTTCTGTACATCAATCAGATATTGTACATAACACATAGATCATAATTTAAATCCATCTTTTACAACCTGGGGTCCAATGATAGACTTTTAGTAAGCTAAGTAAAATACGCAGTCAACGGGCTTGACAGACTAGCAGTTATAAAATATGTTAATTATGCCACGCTTTTGTTTTAGGTGAATGTGAAATGTTGCCTAGATTGAGAATGGGTTGCAAGTTCGAAATATAACTTCAATGAACAAAGTTCTAATTGTTATTTTAAATTACAAAGACTTGTTCATCTGGAAGACTGGTTGACTCGGAATCGAGAACATTGACTGAATTCTAGTGAATCATTATTCTACTAAATATTTTAAAAACTCGATCATTCTAAGTTTAGCTCTTCTCTCTATTACCTTAGATCTTTAGTTATTAATGTATCATTAGTTTACACTTGTTTTTCATTTTCACCATAGTTTGACTGGTGAAAGTAATGTATCATTGTTTTATTCTCCACAAACGAGTTGGATTGTCAATCAGAAATAAAGTTCGCATCTAATATGGGACGTTCCAAGTAGAATAACAACTAAAATAGTCGGTACAAACAGTTCAAAATATGCACACTTCTATATTTAAGACCTGCTACATGACTAACACATTTAATGTCAAAATATCACATAGTAAATAGTAATGATAGCAAATCTGAAATGGTTAAACAATGGAAGATTAAATCGATTTATATATTGACTATTAAAACAAATTGATATTTCTTACGTTTAACAATATTACTTAAAGAACAATACTGTGACAACTAACTTTGTTTGTACACCTACTTACCAGTCATGAAATGACAACAAATTCATAACCTGTTCACAAGTAAAGATTCTTGAAACAAGTAAATATAATATTTCTAATAAACAAATCGAGTCAATTTTGTATTATTTTTTTCGCTGTTCTTCAATTTTATTAATTCGATAACCGTAATGAATAGAGATATAGTTATTATTTTATTTATTCATAGACAATATAAGACTGCGGACAGTTGTGTGTCAGTTCAAAAACCCAATTATCAGATGGAAAAGGAGAAAAAGACGACTAATATGATGAAGGGTGGAGTGCAAAACAAGACCAGTCGTAATCGCAAATTCAGCATCAGAACAGTAGTTTAAGAACGAATGAAATGTATGGAAGATGACAAAATTCACATTGCAGAATAAGGAAAAAAGCAATCCAACTGTAGCTAATATTTTATTCAAACAAAACATCGGTACAAGGAAGCACCAAATACATATGCACTAATGTAGCCGACATAGGACTATATCAACTGCTATGTGGAACCTGGGGATTCAAACCAAGGAATGTGCTTTTAGAGGTACAGTTTGTTCAGCAGTTTATGACTTCGTGGACTGTTGATCGATCTTCGTTTTCCTAGCCCAAACTTTCTCGTAACCTACTCCAGTTAGGATTGGGCCTCAAAGTAAGCGATAGAAGTGTTTGTGCAACCTAATTAGAGGAAGTTATACGGCCACATTGGTCAACTGAAGGATTTTTTCATTGGAATATCTCGAATTTACAAATTATGATATTTTTAAGTAATTGAACACTAGGAATAATCCATAGCGGATACGTTGTCCTGGTGGTCGGGCTCGCATGATACGACAACTAAATTAGGTTATATTGGCTGGAACACTCGTCCCTCTATGTTTCAACGTGCCAAACAGGTTGATAGGAGAGCAGCAAGATAAAAAGCACTAAACTCGTAATCTAATGGTAAAGTTGTGATGCCGACTACATAAAGAGTCATGATAGCAATTAGGTGTCTCTCTCGGACAACTACCATCTGTGGCGGTACTGCCTTCTCACGACGGAAGAGGAAGTTGTAGGTCGATCCTACACGTGTCAAAACTCACTCTGATCCACGGAATCTCAACTCCGATGGTAAGGTTTACCAGTACGGAGCTAATTCATTCGAAACTATATATATATATATATATATATATATATATATATATATATATATATATATATATATATATCCATTATTTTTTTATACCCTATCCTCAAAGCTATGTCTTTTTGATTGTTATTTCAGCTACATTATTCCGGTCTTTTTTACCATTCATCGTGCTGACGAAGTGTGCCAACTTTGGGCTAGCATCTACGCTGATGATAATTGACTGACTAGAGAGAATATAAATACCAGGACCTCAGTCATTTGAGCACAAGAGTATAGTAAATTGTTGTAATTTTACCTAAACTACAAACATTACAAATTACAACCTCTTAGCTTAAAAGATTCAGATTTATGAATGGGCAGTATATAAACGCATAAAAGTTAACATGCATAAAATTCTGATAAAGAATAATTGTGTGTAATAACACTTTACTTTGTTTCGAAGTTGTAATCGTTTCACCTGTTCTAAACAAGAATATTTCAAATTACGTTGGCTTGATTCCAATGATGATACATTATGTAAGTCTGATGGTTTTGTCGTAGCAAAAAAATTAGTTACAGAATGGCATCTTCTACTCTTTAATTCTTTTCCTTCCGTTATGTTATTTAACATATTTTCATCTGATGATGAATTACCCCGTGCTGTATTTTGCAAGGAATTCTGACAACGTAAATTCTCAGCTTCATTACTAACCGAGTAGAATCGTTCACGTTTAACAGATTGAGCATTTTTGTGTTTGACCGCTTTAGATGCTTCTGCTTCTAAAGCCTGAAAACGTAGTTCTAAATCATCTTCTGATATTTTGCCCATAAGACGTTCAGACAAAGCATCAATCATAGCTGCAACGTATTTAGCATATGGATAGTGTGTATTATCATTTGTTGATGACTGATTGAAGTTTTCTACTTTTAATTCATTTTGAAGTTCAGAATTGTTTGAAGAATTCTTCACTGCACAGTTTTCGAGATTTTGTGTTAATTTATTTAACTGAAATTTCAAAAACATGTCAACAACATGTATTATAAAGAGAATAAGTTAAACCACTTTGTCAATTATGTCAAGAGTTTGTCTTAGTTTTTTGACAGATAGGATAAGATAAACAAACCTAGTTTGAGAATTTATAGTAAGGGGAAGATTGGCAGTACGTAAATAAGATTTATCAAGAACTATCCAGATGGAATTTGACATATAAAAGAAAAAGACAAAGACAAGCGGAAAGTGTAACGTAAAGACAAGTGATACGTGGACTTCATTGGTGAATTTCAGGTGCAATAATGTCAATTCTTCTAGTAATAGGTGCAACAAATATACTCAGATTCAATAATCAGTCTACATCGGCAGTTATTAACTTGATTCAGAGATTTTTTCCCTTCAAGCAATACTACACATTCTAGTAATATATACAATATATTCTTAGCCCGCTTCAACCAGTACATCTAGCAGTGGTCATATACTGGTTTTTTTTAATCAAAAACGAGATCTGTGGTGTAAATGGATCAGCTATCGCATAAATATTTCTCTTTCAAATCTTATATGTTCAGCGGTTACGCCTTGTAATCCGAAGGTAGAATGAACTGACTGATGAATTGTATACTCGATGCTAAATCATATAATAAATAAAATTTCGGCATTTGTTACTTCTTTCACCTCGATAATGAAAGTGAAACTTCTGAATGCTGAACAATGATTATCTTAATATTAACTGATACGATAGAAGAGTGCACAATCTTATCCCAAACGATCTAGGGACGACAGACAAAAATTAACCCGTACATTAAGTTGGTTTTATGTTTACTTCAGACAGTCGTATTAAACAATTCTCAATCAATTTGGGGTATTTACGCGTACTGATTAAATGGAACATATTTTTTAGCTAATTTGATCATAATTTGAATTACATCAAGTCAATCAAGTACCCAGATAAGACAGGAAAGTAAAATCTATGAACAAATAGAATCCACAACGCAAGTAGTTAAAACCAAAGAATAAGTACTATTACCCCGATGTGACCCTCAACCCTGACTCATGACATTCGTTCCCTTGAATAAAATCTTTTGTGAAAATATAAAGGGTCCCTTGGCAACTTTCTTAAATTATGGGTTACGAAATCCAAGGAACATAATTCAAGAATACATAAATAAATTTACTTTACCATAAATGTATTGAACATCTCAGTATTTGTCGTTATGAATTTATTTGTTTCCTTGTCACTATTTATCTGTCAATTTACGTGCTAAACAATAAACATCACAACTAAATGACTGATATCAATTAAATTGTTTTTATTCACTACAGATTATTAGTTATTAGATACATATATAAACAATATTGGTTATAAATTTTTATAAGACTAGTTCAGTATGGTAAATTGACCTATTAAACATACGTAAAAATGTAGAATATTTGCAGTAGATAAAGAAAGTAAAATATCAGATACGATCGGCAAATATTTGAGTGTTCACAATTTAGTAATAAATAGTCAACCATTCGTTTAATGAATATATATATACATGAATTACACACTTGTGGAACCCTAAGAAACCAGTGCCATAGCCAATTTAGCCTGTTGTAAAGATAAATAAAATCATCAATTCAATGAGTTAGTTACAGTTGGGACAGTAGGATTGAAGAAACATTTATGAAGAAAATACTTGGAAAAAAGAAGCATTACTTACAAATAGTCCATTTTTTGTTAAAGATTTATTTGCTTGATTCGGTTTAGAACGGATATTAATACTTTTTAGTGCTTCATCAGTCGCTTCCCTACTTGACACTATTTCATCCGTAACTTTTGGATGATCAATAGTACAATGTTGCATTGTAGATAAATCATTGATTCTAGAGTTATATGTGGATTTATTTGATTTATCGCATTGAATTCTAACTGCATTCAAATTAAAAGACTATTCAATAAAGATAAAAACAAAAATTTAGTTTACTGTTTATAAAAAATTCGAAAATTACATTAAAATTCCTATGTACGAATTCGAATATTCAGTAAACGCCAAACTTCGAGATCACACTACAGAGAAACAAACCTATCATATTTGAATTAAAATTTCTGGTCACTTGGAAGATATGAGAACCAAAAGAGTGGCTGACATAGATTCAGATCACTACCTGGTTGTGGCCAAAATGAAACTGAAGCTAGTGAAACACTGGGCAACTGGACAAACATTGTAAATATTTAATACAACTTTCCTTCAGAATACTGACAAACTCAATGAATTCAAGATGGCTCTCAGCAACAGGTTCCAAGCCTTACAGGATCAACTTAAAATGAGGAAACTACCATGAAGAACAACTGGGAAGGGATCAAAGAAGCACTAACTTCAGCATGTCAGAAGGTTCTGGGCCGCAAGAAGTATTTATTTATTTGAACAAAGTATCATCATAAGGAATGGATCTCGACCGAAACCCTTGATAGGATTCAAGAAAGAAAGAACAAAAAGGCAGCGCTTAACAACAGTCAAACAAAAGCAGAACAAGTCAAGGCACAGGCCGAAAATACAGAAGCAAACAAGAGAGTGAAGAGGAAAATTAGAGCTGACGAGTGAAGATACATAAAAAACCTAGCATCGCCAACGGGAAAAGCTACAAGAGCAGGACACATGATACAACAACGAGACTAGCCGGCGAATATTGTAAACCATAGAAACCAGTCAAGAACAAAGAGGGTAAGTCAATCACTGAGATTCAAGAACAATGGAACGAGTGGGTAGAGAACTTTGAAGAACTCTTGAATGGAGTAGCCCCACTGGTTACAGCGGAAATCGAAGCAGCACACACAGACACTTTTCTATAGATGTCGTTCCACCAACCATCGAAGAAATTAGGAAGGCCATCAGACAAATAAAGAGTGGGGAAGCAGAAGAACCTGACAACATACAAGCTGAAACACTGCAGTCAGACATAGAAGTAACTACTTAATCTCCCTCTTTCTCTTTCTTATTGTGGTCGACTGGATTATGCAGACCTCCACATTTGAGGGGAAGCACGGAATAAAGTGGACAACTCATATGCGACCAGACGATTTGGACTTTGCAGATGACCTAGCTCTTCTATCTCATACACACGAAAAAATGCAGATGAAGTCAACCAGTGTAGCAGAAGCCTCATCATACACAAGGGAAAAAGCAAGATTCTTAAATACAACACAGAGAACACCAACCAAATCACATTTGTTGGAGAAGCTGTGGAAGAGGTGGAAACTTTCACATACCTGGACAGTATGATCGATAAACAAGGAAGATCTGGTACAAATGTAAAGGCAAGGATTGACAATGCAAGGGCGGCATTCCTACAACTGAAGAACACATGGAACTCAAAACAACTGTCAGCCAACACCAAATTCAGAATCTTTGATACGAACGTCAAGACAGATGAAACTTCGAGAACTATCACATCCATCATCAAAAATGTACAAGTAATTATAAACAATTGTCTACGCAAGGTAATCAATGTCCGTTGGCCGGATACCATTAGCAACAGTCTACTGTAGGAGCAAGCAAACCAGCTTCGAGGTGAAGAGGAAATTAAGAAAAGACGCTTCTGATGAACAGGACATACATTACGGAAATCACCAAAATGCATCTCGAGGCAAGTGCTAACTTGGAATCCTGAAGGGAAGAAGAAGACTAAGCAAAACACTGCTCCGAGAATTAGAAGCAGACATCGAAAGAATGAATATCAATTGGAAACAAAACAGGAAAGGATTGTTCATTACAGAGTTCGATGGAGAACCTTGGTGGGCAACCTATGCTACACGAAGGGTATTAGCCGTAAACAGTAGAAGTTATTATATTTCACTTAGGTAAGATGCAGATATTCAAAGCACTTTGTAATTTTTATTCTACATCCCAATAGCCATTAGGATTCAAAAGCAAGTGCATCGCTCGTCGCTGGAAGTGCCCTGAAACGTTCAAACAAATTTCATGTGATGATTTTTCAAATATCCACGTTCTTTCAAAAAATAATTCAACACGAATCACTAATGTTGACGAGTCATAGTTCGTTCAAAATATGACAGTTTCTTCAATAAGTGGGTTTATTCTATGTATGTATGTTTATTACAATAAATCGATTTTAAAAAAGCCATAGTTAAGATGACTGGACAGGAAAACTTCCAATTTAGACTACATTTATATAATATAAAAATGTTATGACTCATAACCCATGCACACGAGTGCAGTGTATTAGTGAAAATAGTAAATTCGTAAACAAAACAGGTTAGATGAATTTAAGAAGGATAAGTCTATTATTTAGACACACAATCTGACTATTATTAGCTAAATCGTACAATCAAGCAGAATATACAATAATAACAGCATAAACACAACTGCAAAACAAATGGCTTGTAATGGGAAGTGTGAATAATAGTAAACTCAAAATAAATTTGCTTAAAAAAATTGATGAAAATAGAGTGGGTGGGATGATAGATACAGCTCTAGTTTAACATTCACATCGCCATATGACTAGAAAATACTTGAAAAAAATATGTTTCCTTCTTTTGTTCAATAAGCAAACATATTAATACAGTATGCAAAGAGAAATAATAACACCAAAACCTCAATCTAACATCATTCTGTCTGATGACGCCAAACGTTCTCCTGAAAAGCTGGTTATTTCCTAAAACCATATTTTTGGCAAGAAAAAATCCGTACACTGAATGATACAAACATACATTTCTCGAAATGGCTAACATCACAAAAGCAATGAACTGATGAAATATTGAGAAACCAAGAACATAATTGATTTAGATGGAGTTTTATTCTCCGAGCTGAATGGTTTGGTCGTGGAGCTTTCGTTGTTTCTCAGAACAATATCATCAGCACAAAGGTCAGTGTGTTCTAATTTCTCCACATATGATACAGCTTTCCTGTAACCCTTGATCTTCATCAGTTGTTGTCCTTTGATCTATCATCACCTACCTCTATTTTGATTGTATTTCCAATTGATTCTTGGTCCTATATTTGTCCATAATTTTTCTGATTGGTTGATAAATTGGATCGATTTCAATGTGTCTATTGATTATTGATTGACCTGAGGCCCAAGCCTCTATTCAAGATCTCAACATTTTTCCAGTTGAATGTGTGTCCACAGTTGTTCACATTCATTGATAGAAGAGGAGATATGTCATGGACCTTGACAGCTAATTGATATTCATGCAGACGAAGATGAAGGGGGCGTCCAGTTCGTCCAATGTAGTGTTTTTCACAATTGGAACAGTTTATTTTGTAGATATTCGGTTTTTCTCCTTTTGTCATTTCGTCTTTTGGTTTGCATAGGATTGGTTAAAGTGATTCTTTGGTTTGTGTGCTACACCTATTCCAAACGGCTTCGACAATCTCGTTGTAATTTCTGATATGTATTATATATATTAGGATGATCCGTTTGTTGGTTTCTCTACTTGATTTTGTTTCTGCTGATGCGTTTGGTTGATAATATTTGAAGTTCATTAGGTAGCCGTTCTTTTGGAAGATAGTAATTAGATATTTTTCTTTATTTTTCTACGCTGCAAGAGTGCTTCAGTGTGTTTTGGCCTTCTTGAATAAAGTTTGTACGCAAGTGATTTTGAGTTCTTGGGTTGGTACTACCATAACTGAGAATTTGATCTGTGTGAACCGGCTACCGATATACATGAGTCTCTAATTTTCATATGTTGGTTTTGGTGATTAATACATCTAAGAATGATAGGTTTTTGTTTGCATCCTTTTCTATTGTGAATCTTATGTCATCGATGACATTGTAGGTGCTTTCTAGCTCATCCCTTTCATCGATGACGAATATAGCATCTACATTTTTGGCTTAATCACCAATTATATCGAGGCTTCCAGTCTCTGTATCACTGCTTCTGTAATAAATCCTGACATTAGTGATCCCATTGGTGTTCCTCTCGTTTATTTGTATATTATGTCGTTGAGTTGAGAATATGTTGTTAAGCATAAATCGATGAGTTCTAGTAAACTCCTGCTTTGAAGCTTCGTGTACTTTTGGAGATTCATATCATCGGTGAGGAGCAGGGTTAGAGTTTCCGTTGCTAAGCATGGTTCAATTAAAGTGAATAGGGACTGTCATATCGAAGAATATCATCAGTTTGACGTTGTTGGTCTGAACTTCCTTAACCTTTGGAAATAGAATCTCCACGACACCTATCTTTTATTTCTATCACGGCCAAAGATACAATCTTTCAACTGATTTATTGCTCTTTTAGAACGCTTGTTTTTTATATATTTAAGTTCATTATAATCAGTTATATATACATGTCCCTTATTTGAATACATTTTCAATAAATCACCCCTGAAAGATTTGTTGATAGGATTAGACGGCTCTAGGACGAGTAAAAGTTAACGAGATATATGGTGTGTCCAAATCGATGCTAGTTGTCACCGGATATAGACAAGCCACATCAGTACTTTAAAATGAATCAGTTAAAAACAAATGATGGATTACTTATCGAAAGACAGATTAGGATACGAGATTAATAAGCTCAATTTTCAATGAGTGGAGTATAAGTATGAATGACAATAAAATAAAAATGCTGCACATTGTTTATAACTTCAAACCATTTGAGGTTTTTTCCATCCAAAAAGTAAACAAATCAATAACAAGTGCATTTTGACACTTCGTTTCTTATCGGATGAGTAATTCCTGATTATCCAACTGGTAACAGAAACAGTAGTATTAATGGTAGATTCAGCTATATTCAAACTAAAGATAAACAATAAATGAAGAACCAGATGTTATAAAAATATGGGAGGAAAGGTTCAGTAACATTTGATACCACATAATGAAATAATTATGGGAAAACTTACAGGTACATTAGTTTTATCTGAAGACTGAAGTTTTTTGTGAGTGAAATGACTCCATGTTTGTGAAGTAGATTCAATCAATTTATCACTTCCTATAGTTTCGATCAATCCACGATAAAGATAAGCAATTTCACCAGCTACCTTTGAGCTAGGTGAACCGATTGGCCATGTTTTGGAATTCATTATTGGGGTATTAAACGAGTCATTTTCTGAAAATTCTTTATCGCATGAGTGATTTGATCTGTTCAATAAGTTATACTCTACTTGTTTAACTAATAAGTTCCCTTTACTTTCAATTAATCCAACATTTTCATAATGAGAGAATTTAGATGAACGCCGTTTGGTATATAATGGTAATAAGCGAAACTAGACAAGTGAATGGATTAAATAGATATTTAATCGTAACAGTTAATAAAAGAAAGCTAAAACAATTCACTCTACATTGAGAAAAACAAATATGTCGGATACAATTAGTTTAGGGGTGCATGAATACCTAAAACTGACTAATTAACTTAAATGTGATATGTTCTGATTCAAATATAATTTACTTAATGCTTTGTTCATTCGTGAGAGAACATTCTCACACGAATTATCTGAAAATATAAACGGTGCTGCGTCACCTATAAAACTTGTGGAAAGTTGAGAGGTATCCAATGAGAAAAGCACGTAAACAACAAAGTATGTCGGTAAAATTTACCAAGCTCTGATTTAGGAAAAAGAAACCTTACTGGTGCTGACCCATTTATGTTGTATCATCAAATAGTACTGATGATTGATCTTTGAAAATAACTAACGTTGGTTAAGTTGTTCTGTTTTTCTCTTGGCTCTTTTTCGTTTATTTTCTATGTAAATTACCAAATGACCAAACGTTTTAAGTTTTTGTCAGTGAGTTATCATATTCACGTCAAAAAAGGTATCTATATGAATAAAGATTTATTCAAAATGCATTGACCACTACGCAACCTGCTTTTGTTATTTTAAATCTCGGACCACTTTATGATGAGATCTCTTTTATCCAATCTATAAACTCACATTTACTAGACAACTACGAATACGAATGTACAGCTTAGGTGTATGATTTTATAGAAAAGATTTTCTTCGTTGAATTCTCTTTATTTTTATTCAATGATACAATGGGTTACTTTAATTACTAAAATGTATCGATTACTTAGTACCAACAGATCTCTTAAAACGTCTTATTAAACACTTAGTTCAGGAGAGATATATTAGGATAATTAACTAGTATACTGAATCTGACTTCTTAGAATATTAGTCACTTTAGATTACTTCCTCTATTCTTTATGCTTATGATAGTTAAAATATGGGTTGATAAGCCTTAAGTTTAATGTTACTTGATAAAATTACAAATTATCTAATGGTGGAATATTGTATTTTTACGAGCGTGTTAACATTTTCCAGGCTGTGTTTACGCACCTTACTGTTGGATGCTAGTTTTTAATCTCTACGATTTATTGTAAAAAAACCAACTACATGATAGTAACAACTAGGTAGATATCTAAGATATTTTATATTCAATTTACATTTTCTATCATCAAGCTATATATTTATAACACTAGTTTATCAGATGATACAATAAACTGGTTGTAATCAAGTGCTCATATTATTCTATAAGCAGATAGTTCATCATAGTTCAGTAAGGTAACCCGAACATTATCAGTCATCAACAATATAGAACCCGACACACAATGTATATCAGCTCAAGTGGAAAAATGATTTAAGTTCATATGAAACTAATGACGTTAAAGAATCAATTATGTTACGTTTAAGGTCCCAAAAATAAAAAAGAATTAAATACATCATTAACATTGTTGCTAGCTTTGAACCTCAGGTTTTAATCTAAGAATTACAATTATCTCAAACGACTATAAGCAAGAGCCTTCACTTCCATATGCAAATTAATCTGCTTATCAAATTATAAATTCATGGTCTGATGAAATATTTTGATCTAGCTGTCATTTAATTTTATCCAACATATTCCTATGCTATTTAACATTGTTCTTGGATGTAGCTGGTGGGATGGTATGACATAAACTATGTTCCATCGACTAACATTACTTTGACATTATTTACCGAATAGACAATAAGCAGTACCATTTGAAAATGATGTACAGAATATCTCAGCATTTGAACAATGAGACCTAACGTTGCAAAAGATGAGAAACCCTACCTCTTCTTTTTGTTCTTCTACAGAAGCTTGAGTAGAAATTTTATCCAACTTGCTAGCAGTGCGTTTTTTTCGCTTTACTCGACGAATAGTGTTTGTGGGTAGCCTTTGTATTCTAGAGAAAAAACCACTTGATAAATAATTAGATGAAGATTCATTCTGACGAAATAATCGTGGGAATAACTGAGCACATACATTGATAAGTAGTGGATGATGAAACCTTTCATTTGGTTTGTTTATCATGTTTGTACTCAGTTTTCTGTTAGGTATTGAAGCAAAGAGGTTACCATTGACTTCATCACAGCGATTATATTCTTTTTCTAGAGTTGATGCTTTTTCGCGTGAACTAGTTTCCATAGATACACTGTTTGATTTGTATATTTCCTCTTTAGCTGTAGATAATTTATTTCCAACGTGAGATTTTAAGTTAAAACTGCTTTTGGGAAGCCGGAATTTAAACCATTTTTTGGTAGCACTTCGTTTAGGTCTTATGCGCACACAGTGGTGTACGTCTTCAGGGGCTGACTTAATACTGAAACGTCGAGTATATTCATTATGATGAGAGTTAACTTCAATTGCTGACCATTCCTCTATTTTAGGTATGGTGTGAGTTTTTTGTGCACTTCCACTGCATACACTATGATAGCGCATGATCGATGAAGATACAGAATCGTCTTTCATTACAAACCTCTTGGTCAATGAACTACCAGTTCCTATATTAGGTATTTGAGTTGGTATTTCAAACACTGGTGGACTGACTGGTTCTATGCTACATGAATTATATAGTGAATCAGATTGTCGAGATTTAGCACTAAGACTATCAACACTGTCGAAACGAGGAGAAAATTCATTTATTTTTGTTTTCTGTGCAAATGATCCATTCATCGACTGAAGAGGAATTTTATTAGGAATATTTTCACAGTTTGGTGAACAAGCTGAAAATAATGAGAATGTACAAAATTAGACCTGAAACTCCGTGTCTTTATCGTTTTAATAAATGAGAAGATGAATTCTAATAAACCGAATAACTAGCATTTTAATCTAAATTATGTGAGTTAACAGTCAGTTCTTTTCAGAATATTCCAATCATTTTTGATGAAAAACCAGTCTTCAAAATCAATGTTATGGACGTAAAATTATAGATTTTTATTACAGTGAATTCATATGGTAAATTAACATTTGTCTCATGAAGAATACAACTTATTTGACTTGAAATAAAAAAAACTTTATGCCTTTCATAATAAATGAATTACTTTACTGATCATGAACATTCTTTAAAACTACATATTAATTTCGAAAAGTTTGGCGATATTTGTAGCATTAAGTTCAATTACTATCTCTTGCGTCAGGATTCATCTTTAAACAATGTGAAGCTTTAAAGTAAACATACGTTTGCTTATTACCATACGATTTGTTACCAAAAACAAACTTAGCAATCTATTTCTCATAAGAATTGTAAAGAATATAAATTGGCTATTTTAAATCTGAACCTTCTTTTATCTAATGACATTTGACTTTTATGAAAATGATACTTGGAGTTAATCATAACCTCAATAAAACTGAGTAGTCTTTAAACAATTTTCTAATACTTTTGGAGCGACAGGTAGCGTATCACCTTGTTTGTTTGTCTTATCACACTGCATTTAAGCAGAGCTTTTAACTGAAGTTATAAAAAAGGGGAAAAATACAAACTTTATCGAGTGAATACTTTAGTTTTACATTTTACTAAATTGGAAAGAATCAACCTTGCAGTACTTTCGTGAAATTCAACAAACTAAGTAGTGACATGGTGAGGCAATTATAGATTTTATACGAATATTCGTCAAGATTAGATTTTATTTTCTTTATTATAAATTACAAATATTGCATAATGAGTGAATTTTGACTTTATTCTGTATAAAATCGCCTTAAACAAAGACTTAACTAATAGCTGTGGATATTAAAGATAGGCTACAGTATACGTGATACCAGATCAAATTCTTACAGTTACGATTAATTGGCAATGTTTTTTTATTAGCGAAAATCTATTGTGTATTTCTAACTGTTTTGTGGCCCCTCGCTAATTATGCGGCTCAGTTGTTGCTAAGCTGATTCTTTCTAATTTCACCCGAAGTCTGATAGTATATGTGAATTTGTAACAAAATATTCTACAGCTGAAAATCCACTCACTGGGGAAAGCAACTCATGTCACGAGATTCAACTCTCAGTGATTGCCGAGTAAAATCAAGTAAGTTTACTTGCTAATGCTTTGCTCTGCAACCAATACTTTAGGGCAGATAAAAAGTCCCATGCATTGGTTTACGTCAGCGCTAACCAACAAACGTTTCTGCAGCCTTAGCTTCCAATGAGCATGAAACACGTGTCTAAGGCATTTTATAGTGTGCTTTAAAAAATATTTAATGTTGGCCGTAGCTACTATCTTGATGTGACTGGATTTGCCTACCTTGAAGAGCAAGTTAAGCCAAATTGGTTTTAATACCTAAATCCAAGTTAGGATGGTCGGTTGTAGCCGGTATAACGTATACGGGGGAATCTTTACTACCTATTGAACTGGCTGAAGTATTAGTAATGTGTTACGCATGAATGACCAGCATCTCCAAAGACGCTGCCGTTCCGTAATGGAAAGGTCAGAAAAGGCTGATAGTAGAAACAGTAGATTTTAACTTACCTGTATGCGACCAGACTCAAGCAGTTACCCCAGACACAGTGCTTATGACCATAGATCATCAAGGCTACTATTAACTAGATTTCTTTTATAGGTACTCCAAAAAGTTTCTTTACACGGTGTGAACAACAGATAAGTGAAAAATGCCTACAGACATCAGATAATACATAAGCCCATCTTGTTGATATCAAACACTGAATTCTTGAATAAACATAAAATAGTGATAACTTTCTTATTGATAGCTTCATATAACCAAGTGTATTTTCATTAAATATGAACCTACTATCTTTAAGATGTTTTGTCGTATTACCGAAATGTGAAGAGTCCTTTTCGAACTTTTTTAAACGTTCTCTGTCATCAAGAGACATATTCAGTATTTGGTTAACATAGATAGCACTTGCGCAAATCTGGCATGGTGATTAAAATAATTATATATGTTTTTCCTTACTGTTGCTTGATCAGCCCCTAACAGTTCATTATTTTTTGTGTAATCTTTAAGGGGCGGTACGGTTATGTCGTCATGGTAAACATTAGGTCCTCCAGCTATTAAATCATTAGATTTGTAAGGATTAAACACAAACGTACTGTCAGATTTAGTATTTTTTTGTCTTCTAATAGAGCCTATGTTCAGGTAAGCCTCCAACATCCTAACAGCTTCTTGTGTAACATGCAACGGGGTTTCTGGAGGATGCATGCTCAATTCGGACCTCAAGTAACAAAATTTCGACGGCAGGTTTTTAGAATCCACAATGACCCTTCCTATTTCTCATACAAATCTATAAGAAAATGACAAAAATAGTTAAAATTAGTACAAATATTTCTACCCTCCATTAAACTGTTTGACCAAAAAATAAAACATCACGTCAAAATTATTTACCACGACAAATAAAGTGGGGTAAACTTATAGGATATACAATTTAGTAATAATTTAGTTCTAGTTAAACTTGTCTTCTAAAATAAATTGAACGGTATATAGCCTAATCCTCAGTCATTTGAGACAAGTTGGTTAGAAGACAAGGAACAACCAATAGATTCAGTCTAAGGAAAATCAAGCTGTTAACTGTTTTGTGGCTGAGGCCAGTAAAAAACTTATCCCACAGTTGTTAGAAATAACAGACCGTTGCTAATTTATGAATTTTCGGTCGTCGCAGTTAGGTTTACAATGATCAGATCAAACATTATGGGATCAAAATACACTTATAAAAACAATTTATGTGCCACTTACTGTAAGTTTCTATCTTCTTCACTTTAAAGTTATTTGAAAGTCTATACAACCGCCAATGGTGGTGCAGTTTTTTAAGTTACATCAGAGAAAATATTTAGAAAGCTAAGCGTGATTTAGGGAAACCTGTAGCACTAATCAATATTAAAATGTGATAATCACTCCCTCTTACGGTCACCTTAACCTCCCCCTATAATTTTACCAACCCTTCTACACAAACTTAGTTTTGAAACATGAAGAGAATCTTGACTATTAGGGCTTACAAAGATGAGTTTACGGTTACACGAATAGCAACCTAAGCTACACCTAACATGTGATTTTAAAGAAATAATTTAAATTAAATACCAAATTTGGTTACATGAATGGGAACGTCTGAACTTGTAAGGATATATGTGCACGCGGTCGACAACTGTGGTCCTTAGTCATCATTTCCTGAGGGCAGTTCGAACGAAATAACCGATGATGAGAACACAACCAAGAAACTTCCACGTAGTCATGGCGATTACTACTTCATGATTAGGCAGGAAGAATAATTCAAGTTAGAAAACATTAGAGACAGTCTTATGAATTACGGTAAGGAGAATAGTTAGTTCTGACTATTTGATCCAGCTCTTCCCCATGAACGCACTTATTAAGACTGTCAAAATGCCAATCAGTAGCATTGATCTACTTTTTAGGACATAAAAATTTTGAAATTCACAAAACACCAGGATGCTCTTTGTCTTATAAAATGAAAAATCAGAAGTAGGAATAAGAGATGACTTGTTAGTAAGTTCACAACTTTTGAGCCCAGACTACTTGTTTTTTTATTTTTTGGAAAAGCAAATGATAAATATATATGTTAGTCGATATCGACTAACATAATGTACGAGAAGATCTTAAGTCAAAAAACTGTCTTCCCAATAACCCTTTGTCTGAATTTATCGGACAGAAATTATAAATGTTAGGAAGAAGGTAAGACCTTCGATAATCATCTATTATTTCAGAAACCCTTCCGTAAACGTAACTTTCAGGAGTAATGGAGCCAATGAGGGAGCGATAACTGCCACCACTCTTAAAAATAGCGGCTCAAACAGTAGTAGGTGTCTGAACACAAAATCAGCTAGTGATAAACAAATAAATATAAGAAAGCTCTTATTATTATCGGCAATATTAGAGTAGAAATAAACTTCACGATGTCAGGTCATTAAAGCGTTTCGTTCTCGGTAATTACAGTCATGTTTCCGTTTATTCAGTCACTGAATTGTACATACTTTGGATTAATCTCTATCATAGAGTTGACTGAACGGGAGACTTTCTCTGTGTTATAAATTTTCATTCATTGCAATTGATTGTCCTACACTCGATACATCCTTTACAAGATGGAGTGACATCTCTATCGTACAAAAATCTTACGTATAAGCCTACAGTGAACACTGTGAGTAGTGAAAGCTTTAGGATTTCATTTATTTTTTACGGTTGTGCCTTGAATGAATAAACATAGAAAGGAAAATAAAGTGGACATTTTTAAGAAATCAAAAAGGAATTAAAGAAGAGACTTTTTGAAATTTATGTGTTGCCCATCCTGGACATGGCTCTCCATCTTATTTTTATCACCGAAGCAACACCCATGATATACCAATGACATACTGCGAGCTTCTCTTTATTAAACGTGCTTTTGCCCATGTAACCTAATTTAATATGCATATCTATGTATTACTTTCCATAAAAGCTCTATGACTCCTCTCACTTGCACCCAGGTTTTCATTTCCATAGGTTTGGTCATACTTCCAACTGTATCACTGATACCGACCATTACAAGATATTCTGGCTCTGTTCTAGTGGTTGGCTGGATAAATTTGTCTAAAATTTCTGTATAAGAGAAACCAGTTAGTATTTCTGGATACGCCTCAAAACCTTCATAAGCAACATTCAGGAACATATGTGAACACAGAGTGACAACACCTTTATTTCTGCTAGAAAAAGGCTTACTCTGATTACTCGTTCGGGACTATAATAATAAAAAACACGTAAGCACGACATAAAGTGAGCGCTGATACAATAAAGGATTCCAGTCGGTGGTACCATTTCTTGTGAACATGGAAGACTGCATAATTGACGATCGTTCGAGACACAGAAACACCGAATACTTCTAAGATATTGACGATCCAGCGGAAAACCTCGTAGGACGAAACGTTCTGCTCATCGTGGATTGCAATAGCGCAAATAATAATTCCAGCTTCAAAGTCGAAAAAGTGGAGGTGATTAAGCTTCATCCACCAACCCCAGAATAGCTTGAGGCATTGTATGGTTCGAAAGATGATGGAATCACAAGGGGTTAGGGGATTTTGAGGTTAATAGTGAACCTTTCAGTGACTTGTTTCTCACGGTAAGCGATGTTTTTAGGTGGCCGGAAAAATAATTAGAGTAAGAGCTCGGAATAGCTTTTCATGTTAGAAACAAAAATTTAGACTAGGTTTTAAGGTTGAGAAGTAACCTAAAGACTATCATCACGAAATGATATCAATTAAAATCCACATTAAGGGTCAAAAAACCTTTCTGCTTTCTAAACATCTGGCAAACGAGTACGAGACAATGTCACAAGCCCGTTTTGTTCTCCCACAAAGTGTACTACTACTTCAAAATCTCTTAGGTCACCTTGAAAAATCAGATATTCCGACGCTGCTGTCGTCCTGAAATTAATACATTCTTCACTGCTATCTAAGAGTCATTTAAGTTTGTTGTGGGCCATAAGCATCCCTATTTCTATAGATTTTCAGCGTCTGATTAGCAAAATATTGGTAAGGCATGTCAGGTTCTTACATTGCTTTCAGTAATATACTAGCACTTTGTCAATGTGTTAATGACTTCGCGATAAAATTCTTTAACCGCCTTCGTCATTCTCACCGGTTTATTCAGTGTCGTTGGCACAGATTACATCTGTCGAAACACCGACCGTTTTCACTGTCAAATCTCCTTCAAGCAGCATATAGTAAACAAAATTTTCGTCACTTGATTCGACGGGACAATAATATACATAAAAGTATGGAAAAAGTGAATAAGAGCATTCAGAAGTAACGTTTGATGTCTGCGCTAAAGTTGTCTTTTAACCGACTAGACCTACTACTCATCATGGAACATAGCCATCGACCAAGGACTTCTAAACAAATTTGTTATAAGCACACATTTCCAGTTTATTTCAAAAGTAATTTATCGGCTAAGTATCTGCCTACAATTTCCGGCATTATATCTTCTTCAAACCACCTCTTGTCCTTTAGCCTCGACTATTCTCAGTTATTCCTTGGCTTGTGATGAAGTTTAACAGTTTCCTTAAAGTAGTCCATATCCACTTCTCAACAAAAATCTGATTTCGTTCCACGTTTTTCGGAGTATTTGTGACCAAGTTCCATCTCAATACATTAGGACCGCTTCGAGAGTGGTATTAAAAATCCTGAACTTGGTCTGTAGAATTATGTACCTAATCCTAAAATTGTAGATATGTCGTGGTGTGAATGCACAATTTATAAGATCTTACGTGGAAGTCACATCAATGTCTATTCTGACTAGTCGTATCACGACAATCCGCGATATAACATTCGGCGTTTATAGAGAACACATTTGGGCTAGAGATAGAATAATATATTTCATGCAAGAGCAAGTTATACGGAACGACCACTTCTGCAAGGCTGAGCCATACCATCCGATTGATTGAATGAATAATCCCGAGCTCACCATTGCTGGCCTTTTCTCCGTGTTAAATGTAAACCATCTATTTTCCTAGTCACCTCATTTTCAGCTTTGAGGATTGCGTGGTTAGGAATAATACCACTACATGTCTTTAGTGACAGTTCTTTTAATTAACAGACACTTTCTAGCTATTGATAGGCTGGCTTTTGTTCGTTAGTTTTTGCCCTCACATCTGAATAAGATTTTCCATATTTATCAGTGTTACCGCTTTGAAATGTGGAGGCTTTCATCACCTCTAGAGCTATGTCATAAAGCTTGATTTGATTAGTGCTCACTGTTACACTTCAGGACCTTGATTCGCTCTTATTTATACTTACTTACCTACTTCTAAGAACGTTGCAGCTACACTAGTCGTCTCATTTTCGGTTGCTTACCATATATGAGATGAAACAACTAAGTCATCTGCAAAGTCCAGATCAATCGACTGTTTCTAAGGAATACACTAATTACAGTGCACTTCCTTAGATGCACAGGTCAACTTGATCCGGTCAACATCTAGCGGAAGGAAGAGAGGCGACGGTAATGAGCCTTATTTAGCACTAGTTCTCACCTGGATTGCTCGTGAGACCAGTTCAACTTGACCGATTGTTCAGCAGTGACTTACAGTTTCGAGTTGATTGAAACATGAACCATCCTTACGAATATCAGTTTGTAGATAAAAAAAGTGAATTACCCCATTACTGAGTTTTCTGCTAATTGTTCCTACTTTAAAATTCTTCTCATTAGAGCGTGGAGCGCTTTTGCGGATACCTCCGTGTCTAAATCGAGTGCCTTAGACGGCATAATGTCTGGCCCTACTGCTCTCCCACTCTTGATTTATCTGCTGGCCTTCCTGACTTCATCGATCCTTGATGAGCTGACATCCATAAGAACGTTTATGTAGGCTGCCTCGATGTCCGTTGGATTCAGTAGGGCTGATCTACTAAAGAGCTCCTCGAAATATCCTACCCACTTTCCCCCTTTCTCAATCGTTGATTGTCGTTTTTGCCCCTGACTGGACCTCTTACAACCGCGTAGTCTACTCATAGACGAACGAAAGTAATTAGACGAAAATACTAGATTGTCCGTTTGTGGATTTTCATTTTCTGGTTGCAGTTTATTCCTAGTCACTGTTAAGCACATAATCGATCAATATTACCGACAAATACTTGACAAGTCCCCAAAATGTACCAAACGTGACCAAACTTACCGTGTGTAACCAGCAACGCTGCACATCATATCACGACTACAGGATAGCCTGCGTTTTCGAAAGCGTGGCCACTACCAAAAGTTTGTAGTGGCATTGGACCCTACCACGAGACAATATGAGAAATAGACATCAAACATTTAACGCGGAGAAATAGAGAAGAATGGAGAAGGCAGGGAGAATGAATTGAATTAATCGGAGTTAATCAGATGGCATGGCTCGACCATGCAGGCGTGGTCCATCCTGAATTTTACGTTACGTCTTTTATTCATATTAAATATATTGTTCCATCTCTAGCCCAAGATTGTTCTATATCATGTATTGGTAACTGTTACGACACAGTGAGTTGGTGTAGACGATGATGTGACTTCCACGTAAGATCTTATAGATTAGGCAGTTACATCATAACAAATCCACAATTTTAATATTAGGTCTATTATTAGGGCAGTGCTAATATCATAGTAGACCATAATTCTACAAGTTCACCGAAAGGGGGGGGGCAGCGATTGGCGTCCAACTGGTGATTAGCAGCTATACAATTCGAAAACAACTCGGAGTCGTTACCTCTTGCTGCACATTTGTGACCTGACAGCTGCCTTGAAACATGCACCCGCTTTCAAATGGTTCAAAATTTTCAAGTGGTTGTGGACGGAATAGAAGAAGTTTTCGCTTAACAGGCTTCCATGTCTAGTAGCAGGGGATCACCAATACCTCCAGGCAAGAACCTAGGTATATTAACGATAAAGTAAAAAAAGAAATTGGTAAATCATAGTAAGATACTATCCTTAGTCCTTAAGAATGGATCAAGTCGCCTCTTAAAGGACTCCTGGGAAGTTGCTTGGACTAGCTCAGCCGGCAGCGAATTCCAGCAATTGACAACTCTCAAGGAGTAGAAGTTGTGCCTGCAGTCCGCTCCACTATGTTGCATCTCCAATTTCTGTTTATTACCGCTTAGGTTAGTGTTGGAACTAAGCTTAAGTAGGTATTCAAGAGGATGTTCAGAAGTGTTAAGGATACTGTAAGCCATTAGAAGGTCACCTCTAAGACGCCTATATTCTAATGGGTAAAGGTTAAGTTATTGGAGGCGCTCTTCGTATGGTTTAAATTTGAGTCCCCGAACTGATTTCGTGACTCACCGTTGGATACGCTCCAGAGCGTCCT